AGAGAAGCTGCGAAAGGGCCGGTTCCACTTCCCGTGGACCTCAAGTATCAGTTTCATCAGAACTCATGTGAATGCGGCGCATGGTTGCCTTAGCTTCGATACAGTGTTAGCAATAGCCTTCTTGGCATGTTTCTGTGTCTTGCTTGTTTTGTTTCGTTTATGTATTGGGCTTGCATTCCGCCAACTCCCCCCCCTCCCCCTCCAACCATCCCGTACACACTTACCCAAAGCCGGAACTTGTTCAGCTCTTCTTCCTTAGCAGGCCTTCCCAGCGGCAAAGTGGATTGTGCAACACACCGGGTTGATTTGCCTTCCTCACTCCCTGGACTGCAAACTTTTTGGAGGACGGTTCTAGTGGCAAACAAGAAAGTTTGTACTTTTTCTGGCTAACCCACTCAGGAGATAATTCTGCTGGCAAAGTTTGATGAATCAACGGCACCGAGGCAGACTTCACCATTGGAATGCCCATTTGTTGTTGCTAAGCAGTCCATAGCGTCCTTTCTGTGAAGAGGTAATGGGCAGCAAACTTGTAATTTGTTCAGACCGGGTTGGTGTTGGTGTTTCAAATCGGCTCCTAAGCAAACCCATTCTCAAAAAGAAAGGTACCCCCAAAAGCAATCCGAAAAGCCTGCAAAAGCAAAGGAGCATAGTTCCAAATATCCCAAATAACAACCTGTTTCAGGGCCCCTTTTCTCCCCCTAGGAGCCCAAGACCTCATTATTTGAGGCCTTTTGGGTCAAAGGCCCTCATATCTCGGGTCTTGGGCTCCTAGGGTAACGTCCCCGCAATCCCGAGCCGCACCCCTTGAACCGCCCGTCGCTGCGTCCGTGTTGTCGCCATTTCGGCCCTGAACTGAGGACCGTGGCTGTGTGTGGCCTCGGTACGCCTTTGGGCTGCTTCGAAAGCGAGGAGACTCACCCCTACGTGGCGGCCTTGAACGCAGCCTGACTTCCAGGGTTTGATTATTTTCAACCATCGCTCTTTTCAACAACCGGCCGTTTCCGCTGGGTCTATTGAGGTTTTTGAGAAAGAAGGACCTGGAAAGAATGGGGAAGGTACCCCTGGATGGCTACCTGGTAACCTGACAGGGCGTGTTTCCCATCCATTGCCCTTGGCTTTCAGTTGCTTCCAGTTGGTTTAGTGGGTGTTTCAATATTGAGCACACCAAAAATTTAACTTTTTAGGGGATCTGAGGACAGCCCAGTGACAGGGGGTCATTCAAAATCATCTTTCAGGCGCTTCATGGTTCCATGTTGGAAGGGAGGCTGCCTGGCGGTAGCTCATCGTCTCGGTGGGACTTCAACTGGAAGACCGAAGTCAACTCCGGATCAATCAACCTGCATGAAGGACTCCCTCTCAAAGGGGAAACCTCAGTAGCAAGCAGCCAGGATTTGTTGAGTCCCGTTTTTGTTTTTCATGATCTGACAAGTCATTTGACAATGCCACCCAGAGCGCCTGTTTTCCCACGCCTGGCTCAAAGGAAATTGGACTTTCTCAAGTCGCCTTACGAAGTGGCATGTAACAGATTTGGTTGGATGATTGACCTTGTTTGAGGAGAGAACTTCGGTTTTGCCTACCAACCCGACAACAGTTTAAAGCCACCTAGACTCTCCATGACCCTTTAAAAATGGGGTCGTTACCCAAAAGAAGGGGTCATGACCCCCTCTTTTCAAGGGTCATGGAGACTCCAGGCAGTTTACACTTTTGGTCATGGGGAAATGGTTGCCAAGCAAAGTAATGGCTTAGCTACATGAACCCGTTCCTGTGCTGAGACCTCAAAGCAAGCACATGTCTTTTTTTCGGAGGCTCGGTATCATGGGGTGACACAACATGGAAACAAAAGGAAACCACAACTTATTCACAGTTGCCCAACTAGTCTACCTTTTGACCTTTTGGTTTTCTTGATTTGGCCACCATGTTTGTCAAGGTTCCAACAGGTGATCACCTTTTATTTCTGGGTCCAAACTGGGCAATTGAGTACCTAGACTCTCCAGAAAGGGGTCATGACACCATTTTTGAAAGGGTCATGGGGACTCCAGGTATATTGGATAGAATACATATTTGTTCATCGAAATTGCTTGCGTGGCTTACCCGCGGCCCGAGGGCGTGCTGGAGCAGCGTGCGCTCTTTTTCTGCCCGCGTGTCTTGCAGCCACTGCTCCTTCCCGGTCGACGCTTTTCCGAACTTCTGGCCCTTTGCCGAGGGGAAGCCGTGAGCGATATGCAGCAAAGCCTGACCCAACTTGTACAAGGAAGCTGTTTGGTTCTGGCCCTTTGTCAACTTAGTACTTCCCTTCTCGCCAGAGTCGATACGCCATGATGATTGAGTAGCATTCCAAGAGAAGCTGTGCGTCGCTCTTCAACTTGAAGCCTTCACAAGGTCACACAATCGGACTTGGCGCCCAGGCTAGCTGCCAAACGGTACATACTGTTGCTTTTGCGCGCGGATGTCCTTCAGAATCACGAATCAAAAACGGTCATAATGCCCCGATGTAGTTCCTTCTTGGCCATAGTAGGTCTTGGTCTGACCAGATGACAGCCTGTGTTGGATTTCTTCGCAGTTCTTGACATGTGCTTTGCTTGTTTGCTGTTTTGGTTCGGTTCATGTTGAGTGAAGGATGCAGAAACACATGTTGGCGCTACGTAGCCATACCCGCGGTCGGGACGGATAGCTTCAACGTTCTTGGCTTCTTTCAACACTTAACGCTTTTGACATCCCATGATCAGCCCCTCGAAGCAAATGTTGAAATAATATTGCCGCAGTCTCGTATTTGCGTGAGGTGATTTCTTAGCCTTCCACAAACCAAGATGCAAATTCAGAGGCTCCTTACACGCTTCGTGTTCTGAAGGGCGTGACATGCAGACCTTGAGCTTTCGAGCCCTAGACTCGGATTCTGGACAAATTGCCCAGTGATTCATTCCATTTCCTTAGTGGGTAACCACGGGAACCAGTCTTTAACACCCAAGAGGAACATGGCTGGTGAACTGCCATATAGGTTCCTGGGATCCACATGGGTCGGATTTGTATCGGATTTGTAGGCCTGAGACTTTGGGTTGTTTGTTGCACCCCCTTCGCGAGCTCCAACCCTTGCCTGATCCCCTCTCCCCATGGGTTGGGAATGCGGGCGGGGAGGATCGGAAGCCGTCGCTTGCCGCAGTCGGTCGCTGAGGACTGGCCCAGCTCAATGCCGCATCTGGGCTGCACTGAGTTGGGTTGCACAAGGCATCTTTTGGCGACGAGGGGGGCTCCCCCCGCTTCTTTTGAAACTCTCTGACTGCGCCTCCGGATAAAATCTGGGAATTTTGCGGGGAAGGGGATGTTACCTCACGACTTTTGGAGGGGGGCGGAAAACCTTGAATTTTGCGGGGAAGGAGATGTTACCTCAAGACTGTTGGGAGGGGTGGGTGGGGGGCGGAGGGTGACCATGAAGCGGATGTCTTGATTTCCCCGCATTGTGACTGGAGGGTTTTCGCCGGAGACGTTGCTATGCCTGGCCTTGGCCTTGACGTTTCTTTTGGTAATTTGGTTGCTTGGTTGGGTATGTGGATGGCTGGACGTATGGTTGTTGTTGAGTGTGTTTTTTGTTTGTTTTGTTTGTTTTGCGTGGTTTGTTTGTGTGTTTGTTTGTCTGTTTGTTTGTTTGTTTGTTTGGTTTATTTGTTTGCTTGGTTCCGTCGGTTGGCTGGTTGGTGAGGCCGTAAGGCTTTGCACCTCTGAGGACTGTGATTACATGAGGCAGACATGCATCCTGGACGCACTTGCCGCTGGCTTCCCGTCCCTTTTGGGCCACACACCCGGGTCCAAGTACCTCATGAGGATGGCTTTTGGGGGGGTAAAAAGAGGTCTGAGGACGTCGGTACCGAGGGACCCTCTGGGAAAGGGGCTGCCTGCAAATTGATCGCCGTGTTCGGATACGTTTTCGATTGTGCCAAACCCACTGGCGCCAACACGAGCTCTGTTTTTTTTTTTTTCCACGCCACTCAGCAAGTGAAAAGCCGGTGTTTGGTTTTCCCAATGGCCGTGGGAGGTCCGGGAGTTTATGAATGTTACAAGCCGCCACTTCGCATTTTGGCTTGACACTTGCCTGTTGCGCTGCCAGACACCACGTCGCATGCTAAACACACGGTTTTGGAAACAGACAAGGTGAACAATTTGGCACATTTTGTCATTTGTGCACTTTTGCCTACGCCTTCGGGGATTCTTTTTGGTCAGTTAAATGCCACATTGCATCCCGACTCAGGAGACATCCCCACCAACACGTAGTTGCACTGCATACCTGCTGTTCCGAAGCAAAGTAGTAGTCTTTCCAAAAGGGTCTATGCAATGATCTGTTTTCCGTCAAGGGGTATTTGCATGAAGCAAGAGGGAAGCCAACAATATGATTCATTTTTGCAACCAGGCCAAGCTCCAATTCTGTTTATGTTGTGTTCACCGTTCTTCGCATGTGTTTGCCTCATTTGTTGTTTCTTCATGCCTGCCGTTTTGATTTGATGGCTGCAAAGAACATGAATTTACACTATCCCCAGTCAATGCGCAGGGATTGACAGCCATTGAGGGGCCCCTTTTCATAATATGTATTTCCCACTTTTTGCTGTAGGCAAATTGAACCTCAAGTATAACCAGTCGTTATTTCCACTTGGGAAAATCTCCGCGACCAGCATGGAGCCCAAACACCCTGTGTCGAGGAATCCACGTAATCTGCGGGAGGCTGACATACTGTGAAAGGACCAACCTCCTGCACCAGTTGGTAGGTGGTTTATTCCAGTAGGGGTTCACCATACCCAACCGGTGCCTTGTGTGATTTTTTTCCATGCACAGTAAGTAGATGGTTGTTGTTGGGGAGCATCTTACATGCTTGTTGTGGCTCAGTGAGAAATCCCCACTGAACTGCCACAAAATGCATTTTTGCTCCCCTTCCAACGTCAACCAAGAGTACCAAGTTGTACGATGCATGATGACCACCTCTGCTCGGAGTCACTTTGAAACATGCAGCGGGCCGCAGCTTCGCCGCGGGCAGCTCTCAAGCGCTCAGCCTGCAGAAAGCCGCGGCGAAGAACGCCCGGCATGCATGCGGCTCGGCGTGGTTTGTTTTTTGTTTTTTGCCGCGTGGTCGTGGGTTTTTCTTTCTGAGCTTCATTGCCAGGTTTGCCCAAAGTGTTTTTGGTCCTTCTGTCCATTTGGGGGTCCTTCAAATGTTCCGTAGAACGAGCTAGACACGTTTGTTTGTTTGCAAGGGGTCTGAGTCTGGGCCAGTCGTCAGCAACCACAATGATGAACCGCCTGGAAAGGTTCTCAGAACCCCTCCGGGAATCCCTTCTGAGCAGGTGCTAGTGGGAACACGTTTGCTCACGTTTGGGGCTACCCAAAAGGATGCCTCGGCAAACAGAAAGGGAAGCAACGACACTTAGCTTGCCTTCTCAACATGTTGCTTTGTTTGCTTTCCTTCGCGTTTCCCTTACTGCCAGCAAAAACACGTATTTTGCGCAGAGGGCCTAAGTCTGGTTTTCCCAGGTGGCGCGTGGATGAGCTGGACTCGCGGGAGGCTTCGGCACTGGATGGTGCCAAGCAGTTAGCCTATGCCACCTAGCACGCATAGACCCAACCGCCCCAACCCCCCCCCCCCCCGGCCTACTTGTTTGGAGGGTGGCGAGTTTGGGTTGGGGCCCCTTTAAAGCGAGTCCGCATTTTGTGAGGTCATTTTGCTGGGTCCGTGGATGTTTTTTTTTTGCAGTTTCAAGCATCACCCTTTGCTGGGTTGCTCCGGGCCTCAAAGCAATGACCAAGCCAGAAAGGCGGAACACCGATGCTGGGTCCTTTCGTTGGTCATTTCGAGGAGCCGACATGCTACCCTTGTGGCAGGCTCGAATGGGAGCCCGGCCTTTTGGGGCGACTGCAAACGTGCGTTTGGTTTCAGTCGGGTCTCGGCGTATTATCATGAGCTCCAGGGGTACTGGCTCACCCATGACGCGGTCCTTTACATGGGATTCCATTTTGCCAAATTGGGAAATTCAGGTGCCTTTCAAGGTGGAACCCACCAGAGGTCCCTTTCAAAGGACTATTGCCCAGGATCCCTCGGCCAGGTTCATGGCAACGTGGAGAGTGGGGAACTTGGGACTAGCTCGGCACGCCAAGGATTGCTCGAAGAGCGTGGCACAGTCTAAGCACCCCCTGAAGGGGCCGGAGCTTGTGCTGAGGAGAGAAATGCCGTGGATGTTTTGGCAGCTGGACGTTTGCTTGATGCTGTTTCTTGTTGTTTGCTTGCGGCTTGCAAACAAATGTGCTGTTGGCTGTGTGTATGCGTGTCGCCTTTTTGTTAGAAAAACCTCGTGTTGCTTTGCGCTGGCTCGTTGTGATGCATTTTGCTCTTCGTAGGGGTTTGCAAACACAGCTTGTCGTTTGCAGTTTGCATGTGCAGCTGTGTTTGTGGAATGTGTTTCCTGAGTGGGCTGAATTTCGGTGATTTGCTGGCCTTTGGCTGCGCCAGCTTGCTGTGGCTGAATTTCCGGACGCATTTTCTCAAGCGTCACGTTGAAGCAGCCCAGGCCTCGAGGGAGTCCTCGGGGTTCCTCGCGGCTTAGCCTTGACTGCTGGGCAACGGATCTTTAGACTGAGCAACGTTTTGGTTGAAATAAAGTTGTGTTTTCCACTAAACCCCCAAAAAGTTATTCACTTTTTGCAGGGGGGTCGTTGCAGCAACCAAGAGCATTCCATGATGGCTGTGCAGAATTAAAAGTAGCAAGTGGGGAAGGAAGATTTCATTTGTTCACGCGCTACAGGGTAAGCTCCAAACATCGCTATCGCACACACGTGCACAGCACAGGAGAACTCATTGTCGACTTATTTCCAACGGGGTGAAAAAAACGTGAGCCCATCATGAATGTGCTTGGTGCAGGTTCCAGTCTTGTGATGCAGCTTCCTGCTCCCCTGAAAACGCATCGGCCCCTTCAACTTACACAAAAGAAGGGCCCCTCACATGTTTGAGAGACAGCACATAAGCAGGTTGTGCCTGATTAATCCTTTCGTGTGGAGAAGTGGTTTGGAGAATTTCCTTGCAGAGAAGGTGGTTTCTGGATATCTCCTTCAACAGACCCCAGATGCTACAGTGAAGCAGGTTTGCAGCTGTTCGCCAGTGGTTTTGATTTGCCCTTTCTGGTTGCCCCCCTCGAAAAGAAGAGAGGCCCATTCTGACCCCATATTAATCACCCCCCTGTTTATTAATAGGGGGGTGTCCCTGGGGAATTGTGGGGAATCATCGCTTTTGGAGGGGCCCATATCCACCACCCCCCTACTCATCAACTGGGTTGATTAATATGGGGTCAACATTAACCTTCAAACGGGGAATTTGACAACACAAAAAACGATCCGCAGGATTTGGGAGGCCACCGCCTGCAGCATTGCCAAGGAGTTGGAGCGAAGGCCTCAGACTGAGTCGGACTGCCCTAGGCGCTGGGGGTGTGTATGTGTGTTTTGAGTGCACCCTTCGTAGGGTTTCTCTGTAAGGGGAACCGAAAGGACAATCATTTTGGGGAGCTTTCAAAGTTGGAGCCACTGGTGGTTCAATTCCCCAAACCGATCCAAACCACCAATTGGAGATTGCTTGGTGGATGTTCCTGGCACCCCCGACTCCAAATACCTACTTTTTTTAGGGTATCATGTCGACCCTCTACTAAAAAAGGAGGTATTTATCCTGAAAAACCAGGTTTTCCAAAAAATGCACTAGAAAAGGTGGGTATTTGGAGTAGGGGGCAGCGTGAGGTCTGGGAAAAGCATTTTCCTCCATGGCCTGGGAACCTTCGGCTACAAGGACAAGGCTGGAAAGCTAGCGGCTACCGAGGCTTGTCGAGACTGCCGAGTTGCTGGATGTGGCTAGCAAACCCAAGACTTGGAACCACCTGAAAAGTATTTGTGGATTGGAGGTGGCTATGATATATAAAAAATGGAACCACCTCAAAAAGTGGTTGGTGGACAGGAATCCCCAAATAATGTCCACCAAAGGGTCCCTTGCTAGAATTCACACATGTGTTTCCTGTTTTGTTCGCTGATGGTGCTTTGCGTGCTTGATTTTGCTTTGGTAGTCGGATTGGTTTTGTGCTGTTCGGAGTGGGTTCCGCTGAACTTCAACCAGCAAAAGATCTCTGCATGCACCTCCGTTGGCCTACTTGCCCGGAGCCACAGAGGACTGGTCCTCAATGGCCCCTAGCAATTACTCACAATCATAGTCGGAAATACGCTTCAAATGGCTCCCCTTGCTATGGGTCTGAACCAGTATCTGATTTGAGATGCCTGTACGTAGTCCCCTGGAAATTAAACGGAACCCCAAAAAAATCCCCCAACAAGAGATTCCTCTAAACTGCTGTTTTTTGGGGTTCCACGTCAATCTGTATTTGCGCTCGCGTTTCTTCGAAGCTCACCGCAAAGCGCTTGAGCGCAGGTTGTGGTCTTTGCACCTTGGGAAGAGTGTCACGGCAGAAATGGTGCTGACGACCAAAGCGAGACGACCTTTCAACTTTTAACTGTTTCCTTGTTATTCCATTTCAAGTCAAGGTCCTCAAAGGTTTCTGTAACCTTGTGAAGGAACAAAGCCTCATCCGACTCAAAGCATCTTAAAGACAAAATGCATTGGCCTCTAAAAGCCTTAAAATGCCTTAGTTGTTCCAGGCCCCCTATTCAGCATCAGGTCCATATGAATGTTTTCATGTAGGGTATATTGCTATTTGATATATGTCTTCATTTCTGCAATTGTGTGTCGATGTTCAACTTATTTGCTTATTTATGTATTTAGAATTAGTAGACTGCATTTAAGACCATTTTGGTGGCTGTATTTTCAGTATCACGCAATGAATCATGGTGAGCACTACAGTGGCAGTCTCCTCCAAAATATTTTTCCACTTGCGGGTACGCCCCAGATGGGCCACTGTTTGCATGCATGTATGTACATGTGTACATTTGTACGTGTTTCTGCTTAAATCCACCTTCAGCCTTTGATGAATCAGCTTTTGTGTTTGCTCAAGCCGGTCAAGCGCACGAAGAAAGTCACATTGTACTTGGGTGTTCAATGGTTTCTCAGGTCCGTGTCAAGGTTGCGAAAGGCTTGCAGCTTGGTCAGTGTTCCATTTTCATGGCCCGAGGGCGCATGAACATTGAGTTTGCTGTTCCCGGATGAGAAGGTCAACATGTTTCCCCCCGAACCACGTGGAACGGGGTTCTTCTGGTAAAATCGCCTGAGAGAGTCCGCGACTGCAGGGAGGAATGCCATAGAGAGATTGCGGTGAGAGATGTCACAGAGACATGCTCAAGCGAGCATGAAGGAGAGATGTCACAGAGAAAATGCTCAGAGGACAAGAATGAATCTCCAAGTTGCTCGCAGCTGTCAGGAGCCCCCTTCTGACTGGTATAGCGCCCGAAGGAACTTGTCCATGCTCGCAACCCATATAAAGAAGTGCCGTTCAGCACGGTTCTGAAGTTGTCTCGCAAATCACTGGAGCATTGAACTGAAATGACGAGAGGGCTGTGGCTCAAAAAACCGGTACCAAAATGGGTTGCCCTGGTAAGTGGAAACATGGACCAACACCTGCGGTTTGCCCCTCCTGTTTAATTTTGAGCCACACCCAGAGCATTCCTTAAAGCCGGCAACGTTGAGGTCGATTTCCACTTGGTGGGAGTCATTTGGACGTAAAACTTGTAAAACGGCCTCGAGTGAGTTGTCGGGAAGCAGTCGAGACCCCACAGACCATATACCTTGATACATCCTCCAACTCACTTCCTGAGTTCATGAACTTTAAACTTTTTGGGAAGACCATTTTAGTGGTAAATATAAAGTTTGAACTTTGTTTGGGCCATCCACTCAGCAAGTGAGCCAAAGAACACCACACGTGATGGATTTTGGAAGTTCGGCTGGCTTCGTGGCCTTGATGTTGACCCAGGATCTAAGTAGAACCGTCCCACTATTAGGGGGGTGTTCCCTGCAAAAGTGGTCTGAATCCAAGCACTAAAAGGGGACACCCCCCTATTAATCAACCAGGGGTTTATTAATCCGGGGTTAACATTACCCAGTTTTTGCCTTGCCCCCAATTCTAGAAAGTAAGAATCAGTTTGCACATGGCTTGCCCCGATTGTGGCCCGCCCATTTCCCGATTGACAGTTCATGCGTGCTAAGTGTAACTACGAACTGCAAGAGCTTTCCAGGGATGGGTTTTGGAGAATGGAGGATACATACCACTATACAAGGGATACATACTGCGTTACAAGCTTATGTCGGTGGCAGAATGTGGGGTACAAGCATGCATACCTTCAATCACAGGCTGGGTCAATTAAACCGTTACTTCTGGCTTAGTTATAAGAATCAGCCACTCTTTGGCGTCCAAAGTGGGCATGGGTTCACACGTGGACCTCAATCAGCCTTTGGTTCAAAATCCATTGAAGATGCCCCCCCAGACCACTGCACGAGGTTCTTCCAGGCGCACAACCTGGACGTCTCCTCTTTCACCGCCCACCTGCCCTTCCCGCCCTCCCCGCGAAAGGGGGAGCCTCACTCGCAGATCGTTTCTCAGAGTCGTTTTTTTCTTCGGGGGAGAGTTTGGATGTGTTTCAGCGGGCGCCTTTGTTTTCGCATGGTTCTAGTGAATTCATATTGACATATTTAGAGAGGAGAGGGAGAGAGAAGGAGAGAGACTACGTAGTACATGCACACAGATATTCGCATAGCTATGGGGAGGGTAAGTAGCACTTCACCCATATTTGCTCGCATAATGTTGACCCCATATTAATCAACCCACGTTTATTAATAGGGGGGTGTTCCCGTCCAAAAGTGACGATAAACCCAGGCAAAAGCACCCCCCATGAATAAACTGGGGTTAATTAATACGGGGTCAACATTACAGTTGAACAACAGGCCGCAAGTCCACCAGGTCTGGGCTGGAGAGCCATATACCTCCCACAAAGGAACACGGAACCTGACGTTCGTGGGGTTCTGGAAGACAACTTTCCGTTTAAAGGGAACCCCTGTCAGGTGCCATGTCAATTCGTGGGAGGGTGTATAAATATGGTTACACATATATTCCTATTTGGCTGGGGGGGTGCCCTTTAACATTGCCTGTTAAAACGCACGTCGTAGGTTCTTCCACTTGCCATGGGGAAGTCGGCAAGCCTTGCTGGAGCAGGTAGGGAACGAGGCGGTTGCCAGGTGTGCTGAAATACACCTTGCCTAGCGTCGTTGTGCATCCACCAGCCGCTGGTTTGTTGTCCACCACTTCAACAACTGGCTGTTCCCTTGCCAGTCTGAGTTGAAGTGTTCAAAATGCAAAGCCAGGAGTCTAGGCGCACGACACATGGTGAGAGTGACGGTCAAACCAGTATCGCTCTCGTAACTTGTCCCCAGTGTGGAATTCAGGCCTCAAAGCTGTGTTGGGGCAGCTTGGGAGGCCTGGGGTCACTTGGTCTGATATTGTCATGCCGTGCTACTGATACATCGTCTCTATGGCCCGGGGTGTTGTCCGTTGACCGGTTTGACCGGTTTCCAGGAACGGCTCCGGATTTTTTTCTGAGAAACGGCGTCTTGGCACTGTCCAGTGGAAAGGATTTTTCCGGAGCAGAAGGCGATATCTTTCCTCTCGGGGAAACAAAGAGTACCGGCAAGGCCCAGTGGAGGGAGCTGTGGCGATGGCTTCTGACCGCGTAATCAGAACATACGGGCTCATGGGGATGTGTCGCTCGTAAGTTTCGACCGCTGACCCGGCCTAGAGTCTTAGAGGGTTCAAGCAGGAGGTACCAAGAGCCCTTTTCAGCCCTGAAAAAACCATGGAAGGTAATCAAAGGGACGTCTTTTGGCGCTTTTGGCGAGTGTTTCGTTGCTTCCCAGTCGGATCGAACCAGCGGCCTCGGATGCAAAGAGCCGCCTTCTTTCTTGCTGGTTCTCTCCGGGAATGAGGGACTGAGCCCTACAAACCCATCTACGGTTTCCTTTAACAGAATCCCCCGGTTCATGGTCCAACCGGTGGTTTCAATCATCCAACCGGTGGTTTCCTTATTCGGGAATCCCCAAAACCGGTTCCATCTTCTATGGTTTCCATTATTCGGCAATCTCTGGGTTCACATCTTCTATGGTTTCCTCTATTCGGGAATCCCCCTTCGGTTCATTCTCCAACCGGTGGTTTCCTTTCCCTAGGAGCCCAAGACCTCCTATTTGACCCCCAGGCCTCAAATAATGAGGTGTTGGGCTCCTGGGGTTTGTTCGGGAATCTCCAAAACTGGGTCAACACCCGGTCTCGATGTCATTCCCGACCCCTCGCGGCCCCATCGCGGCTCGAGCCTCATCTCAGGAGCTGGGAACCGTGGCGGGCCAGCTGGACCTGCTGCCCCGGGTGAAGCACTCGGTGGCGCCAGTGGCGAGGCGCCTTCGTCTATGTGGACATGGGTCAAAAAAATGCAAAAACATCTACCCGGCGACCGCAGGTTTCAGTGTGTTTTTCATTTACCAGGTTCCCCTTAAAAAGCCAATTTTTGACCCACGGCCGTGTCTGTGACGCACCGCTTCAGAACCCTAGGAGCCCAAGATCTGAGTATTTGAGGCCTTACAGGGCTCAAAGGCCCTCATTTTTAGGGTCGCGTGTTCCTGTTTCCTCTTTGGGGTTTCAAGATGTGATTTTTATGCTGAGCACAAGTGAAGAATCTGAAAATATGAGTTTTGGTGTACTGCAGGGTCGGGCCAAGTTCAAAGTAACATGGAGCCCGGAGCAAGGCCAAGATGAGGAGTTTTGTCTAATTCCCACCCCTAGCGCCCGGGACCATGTTGTGACATTTTTTGTATTGTATAACAACTATGACGATAGCATTGTACTGGAGGAACACATGGGGGGGCTAGGGGGGGCGGGCGAAGCATGTGTTTGTTTCCCTCGACTTACAGGGTACCATCTTCCAAAGCTGTGGAGGTTGATGGAAGTGACCAGCGACGTGGTGCAGACGGCCCTCTACGCTATGTATAGCCGCATGGGGCAGGACACAGCGGAACTGCCTGAAAAATGCCAGGTGCGAGGGTTGCGCAGATGTTGTTTAAACGACCAGACCCAGGCCCCCTATGCAAACCACAGATGGTGCAAACCAAGTTTCGGGTAGCTTGCGAGTCTTTTTCCTGGCTCACCCCCTGTTTGCGGGGGAGAAGCCTTGGAGACCTTGTGAGAGCCTGAAGAGGGTACCTCGAGTCTCCATGACCCTGTAAAAATGGGGTCATGACCCCTTTCTTTTGGACATTTCCTTTGACCAGTTTGGGCGCTCGATGCTAATTGATGCCCTCGTGTTCTGCTCACCTTGAGCCCCACGCCACTAGTCCGCGACGTACCTTGAGTTCGCCTAGAGCGAAGCCAAGCGCACCAGCAGCGAGAACATGTGCCCCTGCTGTGCAAACCAAAACAGTGCAGCGATTTGATCATTTGTAGCTTGCAGCGCTGGGAGTCAGCTAGAAAGATTGTTAGAAAAGGAGATCAACATGTCTTAGTCGTTCCCGTCCAGGGCACAGCCACATGCATTTTGACTTGGGTTGCTGCAACTTCTTGGAGGCATGTTATAGGGCCCCAGCACTCCTCCCCCAACAGGTCAGGTCCCCCCCCCCCCCCCATTGTTCCTCGTGGACCGGAGCAATTCAATTTGTACCAGAACGAAACAAGACACCTGGCCCGGCCGTGATCCAACCCTCCCTGAACCACCTTCCCTCCTTTCCCGAAATGCGACCTTAGGCCTCGCAACTCGGCCTTCTCACTTAGCTCTTGAACTTTTTGCGGAAGACTATTCTAGTGGCAAGCAAAAAGTTCGCTTACTTTAGTCACGTTTCTCAGGGTTTGGTTGCCATTTTAGTGGCCTTCCCCAACAGCTCCCTGAACCACCTGCTCCACCGCAAGGAAGGCCTAGCTTTTCCCCCCAAAAGTTTGGTGTTTAGTGGCCTAGTGCGGCCTTTTGACCGAAGGAGATGGGCAGTACCAACTCGGCCATCAGCTTCGCTCCCTTGGGCACCTTTCTGCGCCCTGTCGCAGGGTTTTCTTCCGGCGTCTCCTTCTGACCCTTTAAAAATGGTTGAACGTCATGACCCGACTCTTTCTTTTGGGTAATGACCAACCATCATTTAAGGGTCATGGAGCGTCTAGGTTGAATTGGGATTGCCAAGCGGACGAAAACGAGGAGAGATCCAGATCTCATTCGCCGAATGTGCAGGTTTTTGTTGTTGTTTTTCGCCAGGAGGCAACGGCAGTTTGCACCAGAACAAATCTCGAGTTCTGAGTTCCACTCCTGGACTTTCGACTTCTTGGAAAGTGGTTTGCTTGTATTCTGGCCAATCCACTCGTTCAGAAGTGAGGGATGGATCATTGTTTGGTGCAAGAGCAGGAAACCAGACCTGGCTCCTGTTGAGCCAATGAAAAGCAAGCCATCCTTGTTCTGTGACCAGGCCCGGAGATCTCCATAAGTCCATTGTTTACGGCGGAAGACATGGACACCCCACCACTTGCCCCTGAAGGTGCAGTGGATGCCCCGGCCATATTGCAAGTAAGCTAGCTATAGCCACGAAGCCATGGTATTTTTGTTACGGTAAAGTAGCTGTTTTTTGCTTGTTCCCTTGCTTGCCATGTAAGGGCACCCACTATAGGACAGTTCTTTCTTCTAGGGTCAAGGGATCAGGATAATAATCCACGAGTTGACCTCTTCTTTGTTTGGATGTGAACGACAGCGCACAGGTCGTATCCCCGGGTTTGACAGTTTGACCGGTAGGTCAACGTGGACCAGGCTAACTTGAACCTATCATATAGCCAAGTCTCTTAATATTGTCAAATGGGGGTGACAAGCGAAGGCCTAGTGATGTACCCTGGATTTTGGTTGGTTACGCGGAATTCTCAAGGAAGCAGGGGTTGCGAGCCAGCGCTCCCTTCATATAACCTCAGGCCTGCTCTTTATCGCGGTTCGGCGCTCTTTGGGCACAACCTCGTGTCCATTGACTTGAACATGTTTCCCCCAGAACTAGCTCCCCTTTTTGTCGTTTTTGCTTTTTTGGGGTCCCTCTGTTTTCCACTAACCAGGCAAAAAAAGATAACTTGTTGCTGGGGTCCTAATTCCAGCCTAGACTTGGATGTGGTTCTGAAACTACTTTTGGTGTTTGCCAGTCAGAGGTTTGAGGAGGCTAAACCCATGGTCTTGAAATCATGTTTTAGGTTGCCACTTGTGATACCAAGGGATCGAGCCTTCTTCAATAATGACAGTAGAGTCCAAGGGAATCCCTCCTACTCTTAGAACCTCCTGCCAAGTGAAAATTGCCAGGCACCTTTGACCAAGGGATTCTACTTGGGAATGACTCATGTTGATATCACAGATTTCGGGCGACTTGGAAACCAAAAGCCTTGCCCTCCAGGTGCCAAAACCGGCGTCTTGGCTTCGTTTCCTGCCAAAAGGAGAGCGTGGCCAGCTTCTTGGCCAGCCGTCTGAGTCCCCTCTCAGGGCTCAGCGGTTTTTTGCATTTTTCGGGTTATCCACGTCAGAAACTGGTCCTAGGTCCCCCAGCAATTGGTGCCCTTTTCAACCATTTTTTTGTTTTTTGTTGGGAGGGTTCCCTACTAAAATAGATTACAGAAAAAAGGTACCCTTATTCTAACCTCTCTACTGGAGGACCTGGGACCTAGGCTTGCACTTTTTGGGTTTGGACCAATTGAGTGGTGAGAAAGTTTTGTTACTTCTGTGGCCAATGCGCTCAGGAAGTGCGCTTAACGTCAGAAACTTGGTGGCTTCCCTTTCACCTACCACTTGGGGGTGGCTTTGCCTGTCATGCATCAATGGGACCGGCATTTTTTCTTTCAAAGTCGGCTTGAACGTCACTGCTTCGACCAATTGTGCCGATTTTTTTTTATCTTTGGCGGTGATGTGTAAGGGGACTTTTTTGGGGGGCTCTGACTCCTGGTGGCCCGATTTCTCCACGAGGAACAGGCGAAAAGGCCTTGCGATATGCGAATCCAAAGCCTGAAGCCAGACCCGGAAGAGGCCTCCCTGTCTGACTATCTCTCTCCCCCTGCCTGGGCTTTCGACTGGAGATGGCAAACCAAAAGTTCGGTTGCTCTGTGGCACCTTTGGCCATGACCCAAGCGAGCAGCTTGAGCAGCTTGATGTTTGCGGCCATGGCTCGAGGCTGTGGAAAGAGGATCAAGTCGCAAACCTGAGCCACGTGCTCAAAACCGATTCGGGTAGATGAAGGTTAGTAAAGGAGGATCCCCTTGCCAAAAATCGCCGCGGCTCGGAGAACTCACCCATTTTTGCACCAGGTTTGGATTGCGACTCACATGAGGTGTGTCTTAAAATAGGGGACCCCGCCAGAAAAGAAGGGTTCTGCCGGTAGCCTCCCCGAAAAACAACCATGCCAAATTCGTGCCCCTACAGAAAAAGGACACCCACGCATGTGTTGACCTTTTTGCCCTTTTGGCCTTTTGCCCTTATAAGTTCCCTTGCGCGAGAAACCCCGCAGTTCTTTAGGGTTGCCAATGTTCAAGCTTATGGCAATTGGGTCTTAGCCGTCCTGATTCGGGTGGTGTAGTCAAATGTTGTTAAAGTGTGGTTGTAACCTGAGCAGTGTTTGTAAACTAAGTTTCCGTAGCTCACTTCCTGCCATTTTAGTGGCTAAGAACAAGTTCGGACTCGGTTGGCCCATGCACTGAAGCTGTGAGGTAGCCTGCGTGACGCGTGACGCGTCCCCACGGACCCATTCACAGTTTTTTTGGGGAGACACATTCTCCATGAATCCACCTGGTCGATCCATTCAGGGACACTGCCAGCCAAGAACAGATGCGCCGGAAGCAGGTTGGTTTGTCATTTGTTTGATTTGGACCGGCTTCGGTGTCCCTTTAAGAAATGGGTACCTGCAATCTCCATGACCCTTTTAAAATGGGGTCATGACCCCTTTCTTTTGGGTAACGACCAACCATTTCTAAAGGGTCATGGAGAGTCTAGGAACCCTAAAAAAGGACAGACCCACATGGTTTAAAGCGAGCCGATTTCTCGCCCCTCCCTCTCTCGCCGAGTTTCGGGCCTCGGCTTCGGCGCCACGGTGCCCTTGCGGAAGCTGCTGTCCAGCCTGGAGAAGCGCAAGAAGCCCTTTGCCCCAAGAGCGGAAGAGGGCAAAAAGCGAGCGGAAGCTGAGGGCAGCTCCAGCCCCCAGAAAATGTTCCCGGGCTCCGGGTTCCCAGTCCCCCCTCCCAATGGTAACCCCCCCCCCTTTCCAATGGTATCCCCTTTGCCTTGACCATGTATGCGAATATCATGGTTTGGTTTATGCTGTTCCTGCTTGGGGCGTCATTTTCTTCTCGATTTGCAGGTTTCTTTCCTCCTACGCCACTCTAGGTCCCCCAGCTGGCTGCCCTTTTACCTTTTTTGGGGCAGGGTTCCCCTACTAAAATAGACGACCGAAAGAAAGTCGGGTACCAAATTATTCTAGCCTCTCGAGGACCTAAGCTATTGTTTTTGTTCTCAGGTCTCACAATGCCGTGACTCCAGGTCCCCACACTTACATGGGACGAATCGCGAAATGGCTCGCAGCCCTGGAAGGGACTGCTAGGTCCCCCAACCAAACCAATGCAAACCACCAATCTTTCTGGCGATTTGGTTCCGAATCTTTGGACTTTATTTTTTTGTGGACAAGTTTTGGATTTTCCGCATCAGACGGCCCACAGAAGTTAAGCTTTTCACAGAGAGGTCAACAGCGAGATAGCTTAGCGATTCCTCGCAGATCTCCTGTGCTCCTGTGTTGAGCATCCCCAAAGGCGGTTGAACATAACTAATACATGGTATAAAGCAGTATTCACCAGGGGTAAGACGGTACTCAGGGGCACGTGGTTGACATGGCTATGAATTTTAATTGGGGACCCACTTCAGACATGACCCCCCGCGAAAGTGATGTCCATCATGTCAGGTCCCCGTCCCTAGTTGAAATTAGTGCCCTGGTTCAAAGTCGTGCCATGTTTTCCCCTTACTCCATTGGTCCTACGTTACCTGGAGCCATGCTCCTTGATGTCAGGATGCCCTCAAGAGCACACATGAAGCACAACGCAGCGCTTCCAGGCAAGCCGCTGTAGTATGTAACCAGGGGTTTTATTTTGATGTAAAACCCAGAGGCAACCACGGAAGGTTGGAACAAATCGACCCCGGCTTGCCTTTCATCAGTACTTGCACCCTAAACATGAGGGCCTGCCATCCAGGTTCACTGGAGTTTCAAGCCCTCAAATCAGGTCCAAGAACCACACCCTAGGGTGGGGTCTCCATGACCCCTTAAAAATGGTTGGACATGACCCCTTTCTTTTGGGTAACGACCAAACATTTTCAAAGGGTCATGGCGAGTCTTGGCAGAGTATTTTGTTAGAAAGGTAAGTGGTAAAAAGCGGACACTGAATTGCCAAACTGCTTGTAGCTAGGGAGCCTATGGTCCCATGGTACCCCATACCCCACCCCATGGTAGCACCCCCCACCCCTCCCCTAGGAAGGTGCAAGCGCCTGGGGTTTTTGTCGCGACCGAGGCCTCGGCGCTCCCCCACTGGCTTGGGCGGGGCGTGCCCGGCCTCGCCGGCGGAGCGGCGGCCCTCCAAGGGCCGGCGCCCGCGGATGCACAAGGCGCCGGTCGCCTGGGGCACCCCGAAAAAACGGGGTCCGAAACCAGGCGGAGGTCATGGCTGTTGTTGGGAAACATTTTACAATTTTTGCTTATTGTGGTTTAGTGGGAAATCCAACCACTTCACTGCTGAAACTTTTTAATTTTTGCTCCTCTTCCTACCTCAGCCAAGAGGTGAGGCCTGACTTGTGGTCTGGGGATAGGTTTGGAGCCCCCCCAAATGGTGTTCCTTTTTGGTGGCCCTTGATGGCCTTGAAAGGCCTCTTGTTGATCTACGCGGGTTGGTCAATATTCCATCGAGGGCCCCAAAATGACCTTTGCTTTGCGCCCATTCGAGTCGGAGTCTGAGACAGACGCTACGATCCCATAAGGACACTGGGTGGAAAAATAGATCATGGACCAAATCTACAACTCCGTGAATCTCTGTACAAAATGTTCAGCGCAAGACTTCCACTGCAAGCTGTTGGCTGCATTCACCCAGCTCCGCGAAAGAACGTCATCGATCATCCCATCTCATGGTCTGCCGACTCTGCCGTGTGGACATGGAATATAACTTGCCTGCCAGCGGTTGCATGAGCTGCCCAATGGTTTTGGCTTGCCAGTCCTGCAAAGTGAAACTGTCTTCCCGCCAGTTGCTGTGACCAAGTCTGCCCTGGATGTAGTTGAAAAACGGCCGAAATTTGAGCCTTCAGTTGCAGCATCGTCTCGCTCCATTGCTCATCTTGGAGCCGAACCCAACCAACAGTAGATCGAAGCATCTGTGTCTGGAAGCCATCCAACTTGAAGAGTTGCGCCATTGATGGCTGCACCGTGTGCAAGCCAAAAAGAAGGGCAGGGGTCACAATTGAACTGAAGAAACGGAGGCGCAAATTGATCGACACATATTTGTTTAGTAATGTGGGTCTGTTTTCGTAAAGCTTGGCCCAAGCTGCGCGAATCAACTTCCATTTGTTTAAGACTATGTGTTATTTTCCCTTGTTGGTTTTAATGGGAATCTATCACTACTAAGAATATGTTTGATGTTTCCAGGGGGCGAAAAAGCAAGTGAAAGTCAATGTACTGTGATTGGTCTTGGGCAGCCGTGGTCAATCGTTTTGTTCTAGTATTCCATTGCAGTCCAAGACGTGCAAGCTCCTCCACCAAGGCCTCCACCATGAGAAGCACGTCAGGCATCTATTTTTTGCATATGGCATCAAGTCATCAGCAAAGCGAAGGTTTTGCTTTCTTCCTAGCCTAGGTCCCCCAGTACTGCCCTTTCTCACCCCTTTTTTGGGGTGAGGGTTCCCCTATAATAAATAGACTATCTAAAAACTGATGGGTTACCCAATTCTAACCTCTCTACTGGAGAACCTAGTCCCATCCCCTTAGCCTTTTAGCTTTTTTTAAGTGTTTTTCGTGGCTAGGTGTCCGAATTTAACCCACCTAAAAAGCGAGTTCAACGTGTAACGGAAAATCCGAAAACAAATCGGGGCAGCCAAAAACGCTCGCATCCCGTCGGCATTGGCCGGATGGCCGGATTCGGAGGCGCTGCCCACGGAGGAGGAGAGCTTCCCGGAGCTGCTGAACACGTCACCCGACGAGTCGAAGCGAGGGGGGACGCGCTAGGAAGTCGGGATGTGTTCTTGACCCAACTCCCTGGCCCAAAGTACCATATATATATATATATTTATATATATATACATATTTATATATATATATATATTTATATATTTATATATATTTATATATTTTAGGCCTTTGGGGGTCAAATGGATCATCCAACCAGTTGATTTTCATGGAAGCCGGGAATCATGGATGCCAGGAATCATGGAAGCCAGGAACCGTTGTCGACCCGTACGCCTAGCAGCCCGAGACCACATCAGTTGAGGCCTTTGGGGCTCAAATGAGTCAAATGGGCTCCTAGGGAATTCGGACTCATCCAACCATCTCATTTTACTGGAAGCCAGGAAACCGGGGTTTTAGGAGCAGGGGGGGTGGTGGGGAGGTTAATCCACCAACCAGTTGGGTGGAGAAAGCCACTGTGTGTCTTTCTTCCTTCCGTTCATCTGGGCGAAGTCCGGATGTGGCGATTTGCTCCTAGTTACCCAGGGTTTCTGTTTTGAGAGTTGTTTTGAGGTACCCCTGGACTTTGTTCTCTGAGGTTTTGGTTTTTGGTAAGCCTCCCCAGGTTTAGCCGCACCCAGCTGGCGCCCTACGTGGGCACGGAGGACCCGGGATCCCCATCTTCACGCATCGCCGCTCGGCCCAGTCGCAGGTTCCAACATGGAGTCCCGGGCTGGGGGTCTGAATGCAGCCATAGGGCCCGGACCTCCCATAAACACTCCTAGGGTTCACTTCTACCTTTTTTTCACATTGAAAGGCTGAATGTATGCAACAAGAACCAGCCACTACAGCACCAACAAGAGGCTCCCGCGTTGGGGCTGTCACACATGATGTGGCTTGACTTTGTTTTGGGTCGTTGGCCCTTCAATGGTTTGGGTTTTGGGCAATATGCTCTTCCCAAAATAGCTATACGGGTTGGGTTTCTTCGGATTTGTTTCATTACTTTGCTCAAGCAATATGCGTTCGATGCAGGCAAAATTGCGCAATGATTCAAAAGCAGTCCTTCGGGCAACATACGGGCCAAATTAAATATGGCCTTGACCGGGAAAAATGTGTTTTTTTCGGGGCTTCAGGAAGATTGAAGTGTGTCCTTGATGGGCAAGATCCGTAAAGTTACCTGTTTGCCTGCGTTGGGTAATGTCCCTTTCACATCCAAGACTGGATGGGCATGGTTATGCCGTTGGTTTGGGGCACATTTGATTGACATGTAGGGGGAATGACCCTGTGAGACTGTGGATGGTTGCGAAATCCATCTCGCACCACCGTTCAGAAAGGCCTGGTTTCTGATTCGAATCCCCTGTAGCCACGCCAGCCAACGTTGTGGTTTCATTCCGTGCCGAGAACCCATGTCGTCCACGCACAGCAATTAGCAAAGCGGGATTCCCAAAACGACTTGATCGAGCGGAATCCCATGAGCTTGTCAGAAGTGCGGCCTATGACAACTTGCTCATGACGTTTTGCTCAGAGAAGCATCAACTGGATATGAGTTGCTAGATGGTTCGGCGCAAAGGTCGCACCCAAGAGGTTCTCCTTGTGGCCGTGTCTCTCTTTTTTGGCTATACCCCTTGGTCTGCTTTTACAAGGGCCAAAAGGAAACCGCAGCCGTTTCGGGGGAGGGATCCTTGGGGTCCCTCCCCAAAAAGATCATCAAAAGACATGCATCTCGGTGCCTTCTTCAAGAAGCCCTAGCCCAAGACCTCCTTCTTTGGTTTGAAGGGCCTCAGATTTCGGGTCCCAGGGGCTGGCCGGGAAGATCGGTTTTCATGGGGGTTTTCAGGTTTGGGGGTCCTAGGGGTCCTCTCAGGGCTTTTTCTTTCGGGAAGCCCATGGGTTTTCTCGACGGCTCCCGGCTCCGAGGCCAGCAGCTTCACCAGCTCGGCGAGGCTCACCTGGAAGCCTTGCCAGGGAGCCTGGCTCGAACGAACGCGCGCGCCAAAGCGGACGAGCCCACGAGTCTGTTCGACAGGGCCGAGTCTGGTTTTTTGGAGTTCGCGCGAGCCGAGCTTTTTCGCGAATTCTTCTTTTTTGGTTCGTTCTCGGTGGCCCAGAAGGCGAAGCGACCGGATTTTGGCCAATTTGGGCTTTCTCCTGTTTTGGCCACCATTTTTGGTAGTGAAGTGTCCAACGGGCTAGGCTCTTATTCTTGGGTCCTTCGGGCAAGTGAGCTTTGATGTGTGCGGAAAAGCGCCAAAAAGCTTCCACTTGCTAAGAATATATGCTTTATGTTTTCCAGGGGGGTGAAGCAAATGGAAGAAAGCCGGTTTGTCCAGACTGACATATATGGTTTTGTTTTTACCAGACTTTCATGGTTTGTTTGGACTTGTTGCTTTGATGGATCTGGCGATTTGCTGTGGCATGTTGCAGGCTTTACCTGCGAATCCCTTATGTCAGGCTGCGGAGCTACCTAGAGTCTCCATGACCCTTTAGAAATGGTTGGTCATGACCCCTTTCTCTTGGGTAATGACCAACCATTTTTCAGGGTCAGAAGGAGAGTCTAGGTACTTGAGCAGCAGGTGGTTCTTTTGGTTTGTCCGGCGTGTTTTATCCAGAAGCGCTGTTCTTCCATCGCTGCCGGCTTCACCAAGTCGGAAGCCTGGAAATTTCCAGCTCTCAAAGCAGTCCCCAAGTAGGTCACGGTCTTTATCCCTAGGTCTGAGGGGTTCTCATTTGTCTTTTTTGCTTTGGCGGGGGGGTGTTCCTCTATACCACCATTATAGAGGGCACATTTTGGAGGATCCTCCAACACTGGAGTCTCCCCACACACAAAATGGGCCCGGCCTCAGGCCAGAAGCCCTCCCGCTCCTTGTGCTGGCAGCCAGACGCGGACCTCTCGTACCCGCTGGAAGCACGAGGAGGTGCGCCGAGGGGGAGGGGGATATTCTAACAAGGAATCCCAGTCTTCTCCAGAGTGAGTTTATATTTTTAGGCTATGGACCAACATTTGACCGTGTGATTTTTGCAAGCGTGTATTTGGACTCTAAGAAACCAGCTGGAAGATCTTAGACAGGCTACCAGCCCCGCCTTCCAAACGTGGAATAGGGGGGGGAGGTTGACCCTTGGAGTTCCTGCTGTAGCTATCCATTGGCGTGAAGACTCACGCCACCTTTTCTCCAAGGTAGCAGGGGAGGAATCACGGATTCGCAAGAATAAGGGGGGTTGGACAAAGCAACGTCCACGTGGCTTCATGGGGGATGCAACCTGTTTGGGCAGAGAAGGCTTCAGATGGGTTTGCCTCAACACACGGCCCGAAAAAGAAGAGTGGCGGATTTTCGGATTGTTGTAAAATCCAAGTTGCCGGAGCCGAATTTCTCGAATTTGCAGTAATGCCGTGTGGGATCCTACTTTTCCTGTTTGCAACCATGATGACTTCAGTAGTCTATCAGTCTAAGGTTCAATTGTTCACTTGCTAGGGACATGGGGGAAACTCACCAATCCTACGCCGTGTTTCCCCATATCTTGGGGAGACCGTGGTAATTTTTTGGACCGTCTAGGAGCCGTCTAGGCCAAATTCCCCAGTTCCAGGGCCTTGGACCCCCCAATAAAAAGGGAAAGGGCAACCTGGTTGGGAAATAGAACATGGTTGTTGTTTGGAAACATTGTTTCCCATTATTGATCTTATGGTGGTTTAGTGGTTGAAATCCAAATCCACTTAGCTGCTAAGATTTTCAAACTTTTGCTCCCCAAACCCAACGTCAAGCAAGAGAAGATCATGGGAACCAGAATCTCATGACTAGAATCCGCATGGATTCCTAGTTTCCCAACCATGAGGTAGGGAAAAGGCAACCATGACTAGCCCACGTCCAGAACGGGGAGTTTGTTTGAGCAGGCTTGGACTACTCCCAGCACTTCGATTCGGTGGAAGCGGAGAGCCCGCTGGACATGGAGATCCAGGAGGCCGAGATCTCGCGACAAGAGTTCTTCGAGCCTTGGAGTTAGTCTCAGCATCCAAAGCTCACTTGGTTTCAGCTTGTTTTTCCCCGGTTCCTTCATGTTCCCTTTGAACCCGAATGTTAAGAGTTTGCAGGGGCCCTAAGTCTGGCCAAATTCCTTCCGCGGAAACCTTACTTCCTGAGTTCCGTTCCTGGACTTTGTTTTTTTGGGTTTGATTGCCATTTGGATGAGGCATTCCCGAAAAGTTTGGTGACTTTTCCTGGTCAATCCACTCAGGAAGAGAGAACGCCAACCGACCGCATCTGACCTTTTGGTTTTACCAGTTGACCGTTTTGACCTTTGCTTGTTACCCCTTGCTCCATTTCTAGTCATGGCCCCGAAAGGTGATCGTATGTTGACTTTGGGTCCAAACTGGTAAGTAGTTGAAAGCTAGACTAACGCACTGTTGTGCGCTTGTCTCACTGACTGAGTTTTTTGACTTTAAGCTTTTGGGAATGCAATTTGGTGGCAAATCCAGAGTTAGGTTACTTGTCGCTTGCCAATCAGCCCACCTTTGTGCAGGGAGGGGGGGTCCGGTCTAAGCGTCAATCCCCAAACGTTGCCATAGTGGACTCGCCTTTCTGTGAAGAAACGCCCTAAGAGGTTGACTCGCCGGAAGACCTCCGCGAACATGATCAGACCCAACACACCTGTTTGCCCCGTCTGCCCTTTCGGACCTTTCTGCCCTGTTGCTTCGCTTCAACTCCACGCCACTCCACTTCAACCTCACTCCACTCGCACAACTTCACTCTAACCACTCCAACTCCACCCCAATTCCACCCAACGACAAATCGCGGGCTCTTGTTGCAGGGAGTGTGGTTAGGGGAGGGCTCACGAGCGACTGGCAAGTTTTTCGGGTTTTTCGGTGACTCAATCAGTTGCCCAGTGGCACCCTTTCTTCCGTAAGAAGTAGGAAGGAATTCTCTTGAAGATCAAAAAAGTGCCATGTGTCCTTTTCTCCGTAGGAAGGAATTCTCTTTACGATCCAACGATCCAAGAAAAATGGCGCCATGTGTCTTTTTCCTCCCATTGCTCCGCGAAGACGGGGCTGAGCTCAGGAAGTGCTCTACCGGTACAACTACTACTTCGACACCATTCCCACCGTCTACTTGGCCCCCTTCAGTCGCAGGCACGTAGAGAGCCCTAACAGAGGTGCCGTATTTCCCACAAAGAGGGGTGGCAAAACCAAGTCCTATGTTGCTGAAATTCTTAAGTGTCGTTGGTTTGTCTCAGTTTGGCAATTTGCTCAGGATTTAGGCAGTTTGGCAGTCCAGTGTCAGCTTTCTCACTTGATTTTGATGGTTTTCCCACTTACCTTTCGAAGAGAATCACCCCAGTGTATGTAGAGTCTCCACGCCCCTTTAAAAATGGCGTCATGACCCCTTTCTTTTGGGTAATGGCCCATTTTTCAAGGGTCATGGAGAGTCTAGGCAGATAATTTCGGGCGGGAGAGGCTTGTAAGCGTACCTGCGGGTACCTGGAAGTCAGGTGGACCATGAACATCGGTCAGAAGGTGCAGCGAGACTGGGAACATCTCGGCGAGAGCTCTGCGCTTCGACCACTGTTAGCCGGGCTGAACGAGGGCCATACGTACTAATCCACGGATTCCTCGTAGCATGAATTTCAACTCCCCACGAAAGTGCGAACACCTGACTGGTATGGTACACCTTGGTTGAATCCGAAGTTGGCACTACTGTGGAGCCATTTCGCACCACCTAAGAAACCCTGGTTTCTGATGATTCCCTGGTTTCAACTACGGTTTCACTTCGTTTTGCCACCATCCACCGGGACAAAAATGGTATCCGAACCCCGCCCGTTTCCCCCCCGTTCCCCCCCCCCCCCCCCCGGTTTTTTCGCAGAAAGTCGCGGGGTCCGCCTCGCGGCCGAGGAGCTGATGGCTCAGATCTGGGCGGAGGTCTTGCTGGACTACCGGCAGGCTCTGCGGAAGGTGATCCTGGAGCATGTGCTCAACGAGGAGCCGCGCAGAAGGTGGCTGTGAATGGGGGGGTTGGTCATAATGCTCCGTGGTACCATGGGAGGACCCATTGGTTGGAAGGCCCACTAGAAGAGGAGATGCCTCCCACAAAAAAAGGGGGGGAAGTTAATTGCCTATGGTCCTATGGTAATTTGGGGGTCAGTATGGATCAAGCCCCACTTAGCGCACTTAGATGGAGTTGGCGAGATAGTGAGCAACCCCGCACACGAGGGTTCGCAGGGGTTAAGCTGACCTGAACTTCGGGCGAATCAAGAAGCCCAGCTCGGCCATTTTCTGAAGTTTCGGTTGTGATGCGGAAACAAACAACGAAACAACTTTGTGAGTAGCGGACATCTACACGTTGAGAATCTGTGGGATTCACCAACCGACCGACCGGAGCTTGATTGAAGGGCCCGTTTACCGGAGACCCTTGAATGAAGAGTGTAGAACAGGGCTCCTTAAAAGATACATTTTGCCCATTTTGAGACATGACTTTTTCAACACCAAAATAGAGGGACACCACCATTTACAAGGCAATGTTCAGGTGTATAAGGTAAGGATCCCTTTAGAAGGACCAGGGGTTCAACCCCCCCAAACCGATCCAAACCATGCGCCAATTGCCCTCCCACCCCTTTCCGCATGGAGCTGTTCGACCTTCGGGACCCGGTCCCTTAAACAGGAAAATGCTCCAAACCAGGACCTGCAATCCGAACCATGCGCCAATTTTCAGGGTAACCTGCATTCTCCATGGCCCTTAAAAAATGGGGTCATTACCCAAAAGAAAGGGGTCATGACCAAGCATTTTTCAGAAGGAGACTCCAGGTACCTGATATGGGACCCCAATCCAAACCATGCGCCAATTTTCCCAAAAAATGGGGGAGGAACCTCCCCGACCAAACCATGAGCCAATGGGTTGCCTGATATGAAGAACTGAAGAGCTGGATCCAGGAGAGGGCCAGGCGGCGGACGGGTGTCTTCTTCGTGCCCAGCCCCACGCCTTTCTGGGGCTCCCGGCCCTACCTGGGCGCTCCGGCATGGGACGGGCCCAGGGGTTGAACGGGGTAAACACGCGCTGGGTGGCTCGTCGTGTTTTCTTTTTGCATTTTTGCTTATTGCGGTTTAGTGGGACGCTGAACTGCTAAAGTTTAACATGTGTTTGTTCCTCTTCCAACGTCAGCCAGGCGCCGCCAACATGGTGGCTTTGGTCTTGGGGTCCAAGTAAAGCTGTCGCGAAGTCCAAAAACCAACCAACCTACCGCTTTTGGACAGCCGAACGTGGCACTTTCACTGGAGTGCCACCAGACTGCAAGCCTTCCGGGTCGACATCTCGGGACCCAAAAAGCTTCCGCTTTATCCAGGTCAAGTCGAGAGCGCTAAGACAGATTCGCAACACTCAAAAGGGGGTTGTCACTGAGTTTAGGCATGAGAGCATTCTATTTGCTTAAGAATATGATTGTTTTCCCCGGTTGGTTTTCAAGGGAATCTATCGCTAATTACTGGATTTGTTGTTTTGCAGGGGGCTTCAGCAAATGGATGTATCGAAATACCAAACAGGGTTTCGCCGAACAAGTACTGCCACCAAGAATGATGGCTCTGGGCGTGTCTTCCTGGAGTCTCCTTCTGACCCTTAAAAAATGGTTGGTCATGACACCATGTTTTTAGGTAATGACCAACCATTTTCAAAGAATCAGAAAGAGAGTCTAGATGGGGGGATTGCCCTCAAAAAAGCTCCTTCATTCCACAAGGCTCTCAAATTGGGGCAAATGGGGTGGAGAGTCTAGGTTCAGTTTTTTCTCTTCGCACGAAAGTCGAGCAGGATCGGCCATCCTTTCACGGCCCAGGTCGGTGAACAACTGGTTAGTAGACCCTTGTTGGCTAAGATGATCATTGGTTCATTTGGTGACTATGGTTTGTTCTACCACCTAGTTTTTTGCTAACTGTTATGTGTATCTCACTCACTCTTTTGGTTTGCCGGTGGATTCGGCCCCAAACTTCAGCTAACCTACAACCCGGCTCTTGCACGTAGACTCTCCATGCCCCTGTAAAAATGGGGTCATGCCCCCTTTCTTTTGGGTAGTGACCCCATTTTTTGAAGGGTCATGGCGACTCCGGGCAGATGGTAAATGGGGAGCCCTCCTTAACCACCAAACCACCAATCTGAACCAATTCGAGGGAAGCCGAAAAAACGACGCGGGAAAAAAGGAAGGCTCGATCTTGGCCCAGGTATCGAGGGGACTGCTGGCGGTTTGCCTCCGGGCTGGGAGAGCATCGCGGACAGGCGGAGTTCGATTCCACCGCATAGAATCTCAGTTGTTCAAAGCGAATCGACCTTTTGACCTGTTGGTTTTCCCTGTTTGGTCTATTTTTTTAGTAGGGGTGCCAAAAGGTGAACCTTGTATTGATGGGTCCTTTGGGCAAGTGAAGAATGGATCTGCCGATTTATGGCGAGCTCGCCTGCGGGTTACGAGCGAAAGCCATGACAAACTAGGCCCCGCAGTAGTGCCCTTTTTACATGTTTTTTTGGGGGGGAGGGTTCCCCTACTAAGATAGACTACCGACAAAAAAGGGGTACCCTCATTCCAACCTCTTTACTGGAGGACCTAGTAAAGGCCCTTTATCTGGGCATTCCAGGTGTTTTCGTGTTGGTCTCCTGGAATGGCAAAATGGGTCCGGGAAGCCGAAGGAGTTGACGAAAGATCGCCGAAGAACCCGCTGAGGACCCAAGTCCTGCGGGTCATTGGTTGGATGTATCCCTGTTTGAGTATCGCACTTGTTACCTGCCCTGGCCGGGAGAGGATCTAGTTGGGGAATAGTACATGAAAGGCAAGGAATCAGTTGAATCTGGATGCGTAAGGGAGCTAAGTAAACATGTGCGGAGGAACATGCCCCTTCCGAAAGACCTTTTGTTTGTGTTCCTTTCATAGCAATGTTCAGGGGAGCAAATTCACACACGCCCCCAGTTTCTAGAGTGCATACTCTGAAAGACCATGTTAGCAAACAGAAAATTTGGACTTTTTGTTAGGCCAGAAGGTGAGATTAGGAGAATATATTTTGGGTACCTCAGGCTTTGGAACAGATCCAGTGCTTCTTCCTTTAGACCTTCAACCAGGGGGTTGTCAACCTTTCTGATATGCCCCTGAAAGGCGGCACCCCTTGAGGCGGCACCAAAATCTCCCACGGGAGCGTTTATTTGTCAACCCCCCCCGCACCAACTAACATGGAACAAAGCCCCTTTCTAAGAGGAAAGTCGTCTTTCTACAGGGGTCTGTGCACTTCCATGTTAGTCGGCGGGAGGGTAACCCCGGGAAAACTGGTTGAACTGGACACCGCACTCGCCCAGCACAAATCGACCTTTTGACATGTTGGTTTCCCCGCGGTGCCTATTCAACAGGTCACTGAAGACTGGCTAACCTCCAAGTGGTTTCTGCTGTGTTTGTGCAGGGGCATCTCTTAGCTGGCTCTGCCTTTGATCCAGTCTACAGACAAGTGATGCCTTTTTTGGGGGGAACCACACATGCTGGTTTGTGCGCCTTTTTTGACCCGCAAAAGCCAAAAACAATCTGCAGGCAGCAGCAGATGGCGCATTCCGTGCCTTGCAGCACTGCATCCTTGATGCTGCTGGACCTTTGGCGTCTCGAACAGAATGCCACTGATTTGTTCGGGGGTGCCGTTTGTTCCGTGGGGTCTCCACCAGGAGCTCATATTCGGTAGGCGCAGAACCAGGCCCTTTGGGGTTAAAATATGAAATTCAGTAGATGCAGAAGCGACCCAGGATTTCTTTGGCTTAAATATGAAACAGAGTCTGAAACGGTGTGCGGATCACCGGTCGGGTCATTTTATACCTCACCCTTTTCACGGTGATATGAAAAGGAGCATATACGGAACTGATCCTTCATTGCTTTCATTGCCTTTGTTAGAAACCCACCCTTCCCGTGGTTTTGTTTGCTTGTGGAAAGAGGATACGGCCTGAAGTTTCCCCTGGAAATACATCTACCACCCACAACCTCGTCCAAGCTTTTGCTGGTTTTGGCACATAGCGACCCAGCACAGAGGGCAAGCCGACCCTTACCAACAGTCCCATGTTCAATGTGCCCAAAGGGAACCAAAAAGGAGATGTGCATTCTGTCCAGCCCCTCCCCTCCCCCCCCAAAAAAAAGCGAAAACAACACCGCACCCCCCACCCACCCCCCCACCCCCCTATAAACACCCCCCCCCTCCCCACCCGGTCGCTTTAAGGCACCGGAAGTACGACAGCCTGCTGCTGGTGCAGCTGCCAGCGCCTGGGGAGCCTTTGGTGGACCTGCAGTCCTTCTGCCAGGCTTCGGCACACGCCGAAGATGCGACAGCATCCGGAAAACATCCGATGGTGGGTTTGTCCATTTGGGGGTGAGGCTTAAAAATAGGGGACCCCTAAAACATGGCGGTGGTAGTTGTTTTTTGTTTTTGTTTTCCCCGTGGACAGGGGTGAGGCTTACAGATAGGGGACCTGACCCCTAAAAACTGGGTGCTGGTTCTTCTGTTGGCTTCTCTTTAATAGCCAACACCGAAAAGGGTGGCCACCAACAAGTAAGACAGGCCAACTCTTCGGCGGGCACTTCTATCGCTTTGCTTTGCGATAGGCGCAGCGGGCGCAGATGAAAGCGGTTCGCCAACGTCTGGAGGGCTGGTTGCTGGAGGCTGCGGAGATCTTGCAGAGCGGGCCTACGTTGCTCAGCACGCAGGCGCAACGGGCCGCCGAGAAGGGCGAGCGAGTATGGCAACTTCATAGCCAGAGGGGTGGTTTTTTGAGTTGGGGATTCACCTTGTACTCCGTCTAGGTTTGGCCCAGGGTAACAGAAACACAAGCACCGTGGGCCTCACAATGACATGGGCAAGCCTCCCAAACAACTCGCAGATGGAAAAGGGAAGATGAAGCACACCCGAATGTCAACTTCGGAATCAGGACTAGTCTAATCAAGATAGATTGTTTTCTTACCAAAAGGGGGTTCCTTACCAATCCGGAATATAATTCCTCCTTTTAGTAAGGAAATTATTGCTCGTTATATGAGTGCTCAGGTGAGAAGCAACCTGGAAAAGAAGCACTGCCTCCCAGCAGATGGGGCCGACGCACGCATACTTCAATACCACTCCTGGGATTTGAAGCAGCTCCGAACCACCCCACACCCACGAACGAGCTGCTTTTCCTTTGGTTATCCTTTCAATCCACTCCCAACACAATTTCCCAGTTTGTATATGTCTCAATTCATAGGGGCACCCCAAAACTGGGACACCCAAGTTAGACAGGTGCGGGGCATCGTGGATCGCAGCATAGCCGCCTTTGTGCAGTTCTTCGCACGCTTTCGGCCGGAGGACTGGTGACCGACCGGGAGGCGGAAACCAAGACCATCCCATGCACATTTCGGTTCTTACAAAGTATAGCGAGCTCACTTGGGTGTAAAATGAGCTTTTTTCATGATGACTTGGGTGTAAAAAGAGCTTTTCCATGATGAAGATTCTTTGCTTGGGAACCTTGTTCTTTATTCCAGCTTGGGAGTTACACTTAATTTGCCCAGATCGATGTCTAGCAGTGGTCCCGCCCACTTCCATGAAAGGGGGCCCATCCATGCCCATGGTTCCCCCGAATGGGTACATGCAATGAAGAAGCAGGGACAGCCTCATGATTTCTCGTTGGCCCCGCCGCACAAGGCCAGCAAGGCCTCAAGTTTTATGTGTGTGGGGGGGGGGAAAGCCGTTAGGACAGCGAGGGGATGGATGTGCTTCTCTAGACTGGGCCCCTTGTCTATCTAGGCACTCGTGTTTTGATGCTTGGGATGTTGTCTGCACGAGCGATTGCTCGTGTCTTTGGTGCGGTTTTTCTCATGTTCCGGAGCCTGAAGGCTCGAGGGTTGCAGAGTGTCCGTTTGTTCTAGTCTCTTTTTTTGTGGCCATGTCCCCTGGTCTTTGGAGCCCTGAAGGTGACCGCCTTCTCTTTCCACTTCTTTTAGCAAGGAACATGGGCTTTGGTTCCCGCGTTGAACGATGGTTTTCACCAATGGAGTGCCCATGAAGCCCATCGCATGTACTCGCAAATATCTGGACAATCCTTTCCAAGTTCGTGGAATCGGTTTCTGAACGAAGCAACGGTGAACCAAGCATTGCAGGGCGTTGGTTTTTGGGAAATTGTCTGTGTGCTCGTTCCGATCCTGGAACCCCGAGAGAACGGATCTCTTGTTCAAACAAGCCTGCAGGTTGTATTGTTTCAAGCGTGGCTGAGGCACCAGGCCTCCGGTGCTATTCTTCTTAGAAGGTTTCCCTTGAAGACCTACCGAAAAAGAAGGCGCCCCGTTGGCCGCAAGTCGTCTTTAAAAAAAACAAATCACCCAGCTCGGGGGAAAATAAATGCGGAGGTGAGGTTGAGAGACTTCCTTCTATGTCCTCAACCTTTGGGCGGTTTCCAGGGCCCCCCTTAAGGGAAACCACCAGGAATGGTCCAAAAGGGTCATTCCGCTTCTCATGTCCTGCATCTCTCGCACCAGCAAGGCTATGTCCACCCTTGGGGCGGCAATTTTTCTCTCGCCAACTTCGGGAAACGCGAAAGTGAGAAAGGGGACTTCCCTTTTGAAACCACCCTTTGCGCGGTTTCAGTCACATCTCTTCCCCAGAACTAGCTCCCCTTTTTGTGGTTTTTGCTTTTTTGGGGTCCCTTTGTTTTCCACTAACCAGGCAACAAAAGATCTCATGTTTGGCAAAGGGGTCCTAATTCCAGCCTAGATCTTTTTGGTCGGAGACGGCGAAAGTGTTTGACGAACGTCGCATCCGCAAGGAGGCCGAGGCCTTCCTGAGCGTGGGCTTACAGGCGAAGGGTCCGGAGATCATCCTCACCACCTCAGTGGCTCAGAGAAAGAGATTGGGACCCAGGGTTGTGGGATCGCCCGAATTTTTTCCCCACTTCTGTGATATTAGGGAATCCCCCTTTATGTGAAAAGCATAGTCTTTGGGAAGCCCTTTCTGTTGGGACCCCCCTTCCCCCTCCCCAACAAGGTAGGGGGGGTCACTTGCGTGATAAATAGCAACCATGCTGGCCCAAATTCTTCAGGTAAGGATCCCTGGAATCCCTGGAATGATCCCCTGTACATACCAACGAACAATGGTTTCGCCTGGTTCTTCTATTTATGTAACCAAAAGGGGGGTTTGCATTGTGCAATTTATCATTTATCCCACACCTTTTCTGGTACCCTCAACACCAGACACTCGTATTGGCGTGTGTGAGGTGGAGGAGATCGAGGTTTGCTTGCTGGAAGTCTTTGAGACGCTTAACAGCACTGGCGCTGGCTTCAGGCGTCATGCGGCAACTCGAGCGAACCCACTGATGTAGGTCCTTTGCTTGGGGATCCAATTCTTATTTCAGGTGCTGGAGTTATTGCCCCAATATGCCCAACAGACACGTGTTATTCGTTTTGCTGGCTGGCTATTGCGCACAAACAGAGCAGATCATGGCCATTGCGCCAGTCACTTGAACAGCATGGGAGCTGTTCAATCACCGGCTGTTTTGTTGATGCCTCGCATGTTTCCACTAGAACCTGTGTAAAAACCTCCTGGAAGGGACTCCGATTCGAGAGCTGGCTGTAGCCCCGAAAGGAAGTCCCATGAAGATGGGACTGCCTTTGAAACTAATCTTAACCCCGGATTAATAAACCCCTGGTTGATTAATAGGGGGGGTGTCCGCTTTTAGTGAGGATTCATCACTTTTCGAGGGAGCACCCCCCCTAATAATGGGACGGGTTTATTAATCCCGGGTCAACATTAGTAAGGAGGTTGCGTGGGCATCCAGAGGCTAGCAGCTGTCTGTTTCCTGCGTACGCAGAAGTGCAAGTAGGGAGAGCCAGCCACCCAAGAGAGCTTGTGTTTGAGCAGCGCGCGCTGTATGGTGATACACATGCCGATTCTGTTGAATCTCCGCGGCCATTCTTGTATTCGGTTGGTTGAACTACCGTCTAGCTGGTACATATACCGCACATATGATTACATATGTGTAAATACTATAAATGCAGAGACATAATTTCAATGGGACCAAACTCGGACCCAGAAAGCCGGAATTACCTGATATTATCACCAATATTGGGGTTCAATATCTCAAAAAAAATAAAAAAAAAAAAAAAAAAAAAAAACATGTTCAGCTGAATTTTTGGTTCATATCAGCTGGGTCCGAAACTCTGGGTCCAAGGTGGGCCGCTTGGTATGTGTGTGTAGTATTGGGTTGTTGTTTGTTCCCCCGAGTTTACCCAGATAGGCTACACAAAGCATGTCAGGTTGGTGGGTTTCTTCGATTTTAGTTTACCCAGGTAGGTTGCACACAGAGTTTGCAACCATTGCCGAGCTGCGGCGCCCTAACATGGTTGTTGTTGAGAAACATTTTACATGTTTGCTTATTGTGGTTTAGTGGTTGGAATCCGACCACTTAACTACCAAAATTTAAATGTTTGCTCCCCTTCCAACGTCAACCAAGTAACGCGTGGAAAAGATCCCTAGCCATGAGATGGTCTAATCAGGGGTGATTTTTTCTCTACTTATTGCACCTAAGGAGCTTCGTGGTTTGTCTCAACGGCCTCAGCCTGGACCGCCCCGCCTCTCCGGCGGCCTCTGCCGCCGCGTCTGAGAGCCTTTGGAAGGTCAGCAGCTTGCCCGAGTCGCGGTGAGTGCGAGGTGGAGGTTGGCTCTGCAGAGGAGTTATTTTTGTTTCCTCAGTTGCTCTGTGGCACCCTTTTTCATTTTTTCCTTTTTTTTTTTGGTGGCTGCCCCACTAAAAGTGGTCCAAGCCACAAATAGGGTTCCCTTTTTTTCTCCAGGGTCACTGAACAACTGAGTTGATGCAACAACAGTTCCCCCGGAAGATCTTCCAATAACATGTTTTTCAGGGCTGTTGTTCATGGGAGTACTCCCTTTCCCATATTTTTGGGGAGGGCCATTCGAATAGTAACTAGGTCCCCCAGCTAGGTGCCCTCTTACGCTTTTTTTGGTTGGGAGGGTTCCCCTACTAAAATAGACTACGGAAAATATGTATGTATGTAAGGCAATGATGTAGGATCACTTTGGTGCATTTTGCCAAGGGATGATAGACTTTAACTTTTGGCCAACGAATGGGCTTTCCATTAAACCACTGAAAGTTAAATTTGCAGCAGGAGCAGCAAGCAACTCAGGATTTATGCTTGAATGCAATGCAACGTAATGCATGTATGTATGTACCCTAAACCCTAAGAAGCCTAAACCCAAAGAGGAATTCTGGTGGGGGTCCCATGTGGGTTCCCACTTCTGGTGGTACCTTCTTTATGGCCATTTGGATCTGGACTTGAGCTTTGAATCTTTGTGGATTTTCCGCAGGCTATAAGCCCTTTTGTTTACGGATTGGTCAACAGCAACCCAGAATTGAGGAATTGTACCCCGAAACAAATGCACCCAGGGGGGGGGGGGGAAATAAACAAAATATTAGGCCGTTGTTATTTGTCGCTTAGCCCTGGGACGGTGGACTCTTGCTATGATCAGAGGTTGGTCTAGGACGTACACTGCCTCCTAAACAGACCATTTTGGGGAAAGGCAAGCTGGAGGTGTGTTTTCTTGGTGCCTCCCAGCCACCCCCTTAGCCATTTGGCTTTTTAGGGTTTAGTGGTAGCTTCCATGTCACCCACTAAAAGTCAGTGACTTTAAGCAGGGGATCTGAGCGTGGCCCAGTTGTGGGGGGGGTGCTTGGGCACGGATTGGCCTCACTTTCCCGGCTTCTGGACTGTGGAGGTCCCCCAGCTAGTTGCCCGTTTTAACACCTTTTTTGCTTGGGATTGTTCCCCTACTGAAATAGACTACAGAAAAAAGTTGGTACCCTTATTCTAACCTCTCAAATCTGGAGGACCTATTTTTTACAGGTTGTCGTAGTGGTAACGCAGTCTCTGGCTTTTGTATTCCTAATCCACTCAAGTGAGGGGATGGTTCCCTCAAGGAGACCTGTGGGTGTTCAGCATTTTTAGTTGACTTCAGCTATCCTAGATGTGTGTTGCTTTCTTTTGGGGGGGCCCAAGGAATTTTAGCCATGTTCCATGGTCCTGTTGTGACAAATGTGGGGGCTGGGAACATCAAATAGGGCGGACCCCTTTAGGGTAGGGGGATGGGTTGTTTTGGCTGTTCTGGTCCACTTTAGATTCAGGATGTTCTAAATTTGGATCGCACCATATCAATGGATACGATTTTGTTTGGGCGGCTAAAGCCGTGGTAGCTGTTCAGGCATGTTTCCTCCTTAGAAGGGGTGCAAATGCAAACTTAGTTTTACCCCAATGTTCCTCATATTCCCCTCTTGGGGTATTGTTTGAAGCATCAGCTTTTGGGCCGGGGTCTTGGGAGCCACCCTTTTTGAACACTGCTTACCACTTCCTTTTCCTCTCTGAGTTTATCCTTTTTGGGAAGACGAGTTTAGTAAAAAGCACGCAGTTAATAAAGACTTTCTTGGCCAATCCACAGGAAGTGCCCCCCCCCCCCCCCCAAACTAGATCCATGCAACAGCTGGGGCCGGAAGTGCAGCTTGTTTTCCCTTGCTGGTGTCAAACAGCGCCTTCTGGGCTGATGGTTGCGAGCCAAGATGGGGAGCCATGTTTGAGCCCGTTTGGGATGTTTAAACTTTCCTTCTGGCAGATTCACATGAACTATATAGCAAACCGTGGCTGTCTCTTGTTTTTGTTTGACTTTTCTTCTTGCAGATTAACACTGAACCCCCTAGCAAGATTTTCTCTGAGGGATTCAACTCCATCTTTTGATTCTGTCCGCGGCACCCTTTTTCCAAAGGGGCGGCAGTTTCAAAACCCGCCTAATTCCCACAGTTCCACACTGGTTGCTTTGGATGTTGTTTGAGGAATGCAACGATCCGACAGAGTTAGTTTAGCCATTCCACCACTGGCGTCGATGCCAGACGACAGAACGATGGCCCGCTCAGTAGAGTGGAGTTAGATGTGTTTCGTTCACTCCACAGTCTTGATTAGCCAACGCCTAGACTAAGTCCAAACAGGCCGGCCCCAAACAAGGCAGGACAACTGGGATCTTTCTTAACATTGCGTTGCATGCTCAAATTGACCAACCAAGGGCCAGAATCCTAAGTTGGCTCGGGGCTGAAAGCCGGAGGTTTCAAGCAAACGCGCCCCGGGCCGTCCATCCGAGGCCTGGAGGAGGGATACATCCAGGAGGGCGAGCGGCGCGTGCGTTCGGTCAACATCCGCGGGCAAGCCATCTCCTTAAAATCCATGTAAAGAGAGCTTGGCAAAGACGACTCCTCTTCTGGAGAGTTGGGAAAGGTGGCAAACTATGGGAAGCTTAACCTTTGAGTGATTTGGGTGGTACCTGCGCCGTCTATTCCACGCAAATCGCCCAATCGCAAGACAAAGTGACGCAGGACTTAGACACAACAACCCCCTTCCGGGGCCCGGGAGTGGCCAGTTGTGCGTCCCGGCTTGGGCCAGCTACGAAAAAACTAGAGCCAAACACAGCTGATTCGGAGGATCGCCTCTGAAGCAGGAGGTTTGAAGGATGTATCATATCCTTTCAGAAATCCGGTAAAGGCCTTAGGAACCCAAGGTTGCTTGATTTCCTGAAAACCCGTGCAGCTTTTGAAGAAACCCCCCTCCTCACCCCAAGGGCTACCGGCTTGAAGAAAACCCGACCAAGGGTTCAGAGGCTGAGCTCTGAGAACGCCTTTGGGCTTTTTGGGGGAGAAATTGGCCGACTGGAAGACCTGTAGCCCTCCCTCCATTTCCTGTACAAAACCCCCAAAGCTTCCTCTGGAAGTTTAAACCCCTTAGTGCAAAACCAAAAGTTTACGCAAAGTTAACCCTCCCACCGGAAAAAATAAAATAAACAAAAACCTGGAAGTGCCTGCAGACCCTGTAGAAAGACGACTTTCTTGTTGGAAAAAGGCTTTGCGCACTTCCATGTCAGTTGGTGGGAGGGTAACCCCCCCCCTGTAGACCCCTGCTTGTTTGGTTTAACCCCCTGTTAACCCCTCTGTTCTCCATTTGCTTAAGCATATGTTCTATTTCCCCCTGTTGGTTTTAAAGGGAATCTATCACTACTGGAACTATTTTCCTTTTTTCCAGGGGTCGAAAAACCAAATGGAAGTGTTTGTTTGGTTTCCGAAGCGGTGTTTTTCTTCGGGGAATCCTCAAACCGCAAGGAGGCCCGGGCCTGCCTGGCGGGGCATCTGCGGCGGAACTTGGAGCGGCTCGTGGAGGCTTTGCAGCCCTTCGACCGCTTCAAGCACCTGCTGCTGGAGGAGATTTTGGCCGAGAGCGGCAAAAACGGAAAGGGTGTGCAAGGGGAAATGGATGTGGGTGACTTTTGCTGGAGGGCACCAGTTTGGGGTGGCAACCAAACACTTTGGCAACCTTCGGTGGACATTTGGACCTTAGGTGGAAACTCATGCCCACCAAACACTTAGGTGGTTCCCCAGTTGGCTTCAGGACCAGCTCTGGGTTGGCGGGTTGGCGGGTGGTTGCAAAATATGTTTGCGCCACTGTGAAACCATCGGAATGAAACCATAACGCTTGTTTGGTATCTACAAGGGAATCAGCAGAAACCCGGGTTTCTGAACGGTGGAGCGATTTCTGGCTTTCGTAATTATGCCCAGTATTACTTTCCTGCGACTTTTCTGGGAAAGGACGCCCCATGCCGCAAGAGAATTCGCCGGCTTTTGCCGTTGGCATCGTAAAAGCCCATTTCTGGCTCACAGGCGAGATGAACCCCGCAGGTCCCGTCGGCCCAGCCTGAAACCTCTTTTGGCAAACATGTCATTTTCGGATGGTGGCAACAGGACCTGGATATGGACCATAATCTGAACCACCCCACCTTCAAGGGCTAGATGGCTTGCTCAGATTTCCTGAGTTCTGTCTTTATAATGTCTGACGGCCATTGGCACATGTCATTTTTACTTTTGGTGGGCATAAACTAAGGAAATCTAACGGGCGAAGTGATCACACATGAGCCTCTTATGATCATGACTTAATTTTAATCAAAGCCCGCCACCACCACATTCTAGTGACTTGGGCCCTTACAGTGCCCATGTCTATTGCCATTTCAGTGGGTTTTGTTTCATCATTACTAGTTCAGTTGTTTTTGTCGTCATTACCATTTCAGTTGGCTTTTTTCGTCATTACCATTTCAGTTGTGTTTTATCTACGAGCGGAATCTCCGTTCGGCCGCTTCTCCCAAGCCAGGGTTTTTCTTCGAAGGATGTGCGCATCAAAGAGCTGTCGGAGGACAAGATGCCGCAGGCCAGCGCTGCCGCGTCTGATGAGCGCGACGCAGCCGCTTGAGTCGCGTCCAATCGATCCCAGGTGATCCCCAAGAGTTCATTCCCACTTGGCTGTGGGTCAAAACCAGCCATTTTGGGGTAGGTGCACCACCCATTTTAGAACCTATTTTAGTGGGGATTGGGATGTTCACTGGGGGGTACGGGATTTTGACCCATGGCCACTTGGCCATGAACCTTTTTTGTTTCGGGAACCAGCTCCAAAGTGGTTGTAGGACGCAAAACACCACCTAGATGGCGTCCACCAAAGGGTTCCTTGTCAAAATTCACACCCACCTTTCGAAATAGCAAGAACAAGGGGAAGCCTCAAGAGTTGCTCCCCTTAAAAAACCTTGAGCCTTTTTCATGTCAGAAGGGGTGCTTGAAGCTACGTTGGGTGCAGATTCGTGCTTGCAGCTTGGGAGCTGCTGGAAAGGTAGCCTCCCCACGAGAAACCGGACTGGAGGGTACTCGAAATTCGGGGCCCTGTGAATTCCATGTCCGGAGGCTCAGTATTTTTTTTTAGCCAGCTCGACAAGCCTTGTGGCCATTTTTTAATGCGGCCAAAGTTCTCTTATGATCATGACTTAGTTTGTTTTTTTTGTTGTTTTTCCTGTAATATAAAAAGTACCCCATGCCCCATTTTACCTATTCTAGCTTGTGTCAAAACAGGGGCACCAACTTCAAACATGCAGAAACATGCAACGCGTGCTTTCCTTGTTTTCCGCTTTTTGAGCGGCAGCGTATCAGTGGCGGATCAGCCCGTGCTGTCCAAACCAGGAGGAGGTGATGCAGGAGCTGAAGTCCCTGCGGGCCAAGCAGGAGACCCGGTTTAACCCGCAGTCCTTTTCCACGCGCCCGGAATGATCAGGTAACCGGTAGCCTTTATTTGGTGGTTTGGATTGGTGGTTTGGATTGTTGGTTTGGATTGGTGGTTTGGGATGGTAACTGGTAGTTTGAATTTTGTGGTTTTGGGGATTTGAACCCCTGCCTTTGTAGAGGGCTAATGGGAAACCAGCCCTGTTTCACATCCAAAACACCAATCCAATCCACAAATTACTCTAGAGTGAGGCTGAATTCACCTCGGAAGTTTTTTGCTCGCCTCCTTTTGAAGTCAGCCACAACATAATTTCTAGGGTGTCCTTTCGCTGTCCCAAGGCCATGGGTTTTTTTTGGTGTAGCTTGGTGTCAGGACCAAATTCGGGAGCTTTCACTCGGCAAGTTGGCCGTCCACGAGTCCCGAGCCCGTTCCGCAGGACTCCGTGCGGGCACACTGCGCGGAAGAGATCCGCCTGCCCATGGCTGGGCTGAACGGTTGGAGCCGGGCTGTGGGGCATGCGTTTTGAAGCAGGGCTCCTTAAAAGATACACTTTGCCCATTTGAAACATGTTTTTTTTCCGCCAGAAGAAAGGGCACCATTTACAAGGCAAGTGTTCAGATGTATAATGTAAAGATCCCTGTTTTGTGAGGGTACCATGTTGGGCGTTGGTTTGAAAGGGTTTTATGGCAATGAGCAACACCTATGACGAAGCTCCTTTACTTGGATCCAATTCTCATTTCAGGTTTTTTGGGATTTTTGGCAGAGGTTGCAGATGGTATATGGTGGAACCCCTGGCAGGCTCAGCGCTGCCCCATTCTTTTGCCACAGTCATCCCCAAGCTGCCTGACTTTTCCTCTTGCCGCTATGCTGACATTTTTTGCAATTTTGCCCTGTCCGGCTTTTTACCTGTTTCCAGCATGGGTAACTTTTTGCAGTGGTCCATTAGAATCCGGCCAAGGAACTAGTCCTAGACCGAGGGCGTCTTTTTGGTAATTGTCGTTTCGAAGCAGCTGCGGCTGGTTTCAGTTTGGTTCGAATCATTGACGAGTGCCATCCATGCTTCCATGGTCTACAGGCTCTCTCAATGTTCCTTTGAATTTTTGGAGAGGACACAGAACATATTATATCATGTTTGAAGGATCCAGTGACCCCTGTCATGGAACTAGTCCTCAGCACCTCTGTCCCAACAACACACCCTGAAATATGGAAAAGAGGAACCTGCGTGGGAAACAGGTCTTCTGTGATACCGGTTGAAACCTTCGCTTTCAGTGGATGTGTGTGAGGCCTTCCATTGGGTGTAGAACTGGCTTTAAAGAGAGGCGCGCGACAGATGTATATAGCTTAGTTTTCCTTCATCCTCCCTGGGATCCCATCAGAAGCGCCCCTTCAGAGGAACTCGGCTAGTAGGGAGCCACTGAGGTTTCAATTTGGGCCCCTTTCCTTTCAGCAGAGCCCGGATGTCTTTTTTCCCCTTGGGTTTTTTGGAGCATTCCGGGACGAACTGCTAAGTGGGTGGCCTCACTCCCCGAGTTCCTCGACTTTTAACTTTTTGGAAAGACCAGCCTGGTGGCATTCCCAAAAAGGTCCCCAAAAAGTTTGGTTACTTTTTCTGCCCAATCCACTCGTTCGGAAGTGAGGAAACACCTTAAGTCCTCGTTCTGCCATTTCGCCGCTGTGCCCCTTGCTTTCACCAGAGCCCAGTTTGTTTTTCTTTCTGGTTGTGACTCGCATCAAGACGAACCACTAAGACTCTAGAAGCTCCCTTTTGTTGTTGTGTTAAAGGAACACCAAACGGAACTCCATTTTGGGAGGTCCATTCCTGAAACAAAGACCATTTCGCGGATCGTGTCGAGGTGGCGATATACTGCTCCACCATCAACGAGACGCTGCGCTCCAAGGTTCTTCCGGGCTGGCTTAAGCAAAACGATAAACAAAATGAACAAAAAAGACAAAAGTGTCAACTTAGTATATAGTTCCACTATTTGGCTTGATGGGCTATAGTAAGGCAGATGCAAGCTAGCACCAAGGCTCATTTGGGAACTAATGCAAGACCTGACTGTTTTTGATTGGGGGGCATCCCTGGTACGCTTTGTTTCCACTCTGGGCAAAAAATCTCGAGCGGAGCGGGGTTCAACGTGGCCTGACCCGTTACCGTACCTAGACTCTCCATGACCCTTAAAAAATGGGATCATTACCCAAAAGAAAGGGGTCATGACCCATTTTTGAATGGTCATGGAGAGTGTAGGTATCCCTTTCTTGGAAGATGTCTCTGGATCGGAGTGCATCCCCACACAGGGCCCCATTTTTTCCCGGAAGGACATGATGGCCTTTTTTGTGCAGAAGGTCCGCTTGTGGCCAAAAGATAAAATTCGCAAGTTGGGATTTAGGGCCAGCTGTGATATCAATGGAATGCCCTCGTCAAGTGGTCATGAGAAGCAACCACTTTCTTACAAGGGCTCATGAGCATCCAAAGCAGGCGCCACAAGCACAGGTGTAAAGTTTTGTTGTTAGATGTCAATCCCTGGTCGACCTTACTTCGACGACCATGGAAATCCATCTATGTTCAACCAACGGCAGACCTATGGCCACAAGGTCAACAAACAAAACCTGACAGTGTCACTTGCCACAAGTCCCTGGGCCCACACATTCTTTGAGGTTCTTGGGGATCACCCCACCCCTTGGACCCCCTAACCAAATAATTGTTTGGGGGGGATCAAGCCCGCTAGGGTCTGGAGTGTTCGAAACAAATCGGCGCTCATTTGGCCCTCCAATGCCCGGAGACACAATCGATAGTGACCATGGGCTCAGTGACCATGTTCGGGTTTGCCTTGACATGATCCCAAAAAAAACCTGTTTCTTACTCTTTGCTTTCCCTTAAAACAGACTCTCTTTTTTGCAAAGCAAGACGCCAAGGGATTGTCAACTAAAAGGCTTGGCACATCCCATTTCGGCCCTTAGGTCTGGGAGTTCGCATCTTTAGCCTTGCTTTGGTAACTCACCCGCGCCATGGTTGTTGAAGTCCCCTAGGGTTCAACTTGGGAATCGACTATGCTTTTGCTACGTTGGAAAAGCTGTTTGCGGAAAAGCTGAGTGGGGATTTGACCTTATTCCTATGCCTGGACTTGGCAAGTCCCCTGAGAGCCGAAAAACATGGCCATGGGGTAAAATCTGGGAACTTCCAGGGATTCTCCCAATCCAACCACTAAAATCGGTAGCCTAAAATGGGTGGTGCACCTACCCCAAAATGGCTGGTTTTGACCCACAGCCAAGTGGGAATGAACTCTTGGGGATCACCTGGGATCGATTGGACGCGACTCAAGCGCATGGAATCACCTACCAACCAAAAAGGGGGATCCCAAAAACGGTTTTGCCAACAGCCCCACGTCTCCGTTGGCAGGCGGAGGAGGCCATCCACATCTTGCTGGAGGCCATCCTGCGGCACCTGCTGCTCCGCAACGAGCAGCTCTGCTTCTCGGATCGATTCGATGGGCGCTGGGCGGGGTGGGTGGGGGGTGGGGTGGGTGGGGGGGTGGGTGGGGGGGGGTGGGGGTGGGTGGAGACTCAGTACAAGAGATATGTGAACCCACGGACAGTTTGGACTATTTTGGTGGCAGGTTTGCGAAATCAAGCGATGAATGACGAATAGATGCACGACCAAGGCTTGCATGCCAGGGCGGGTTGTGGGGCGCCCAAACAATTGGGCAAATATTCTGGAAAACAAACTATGAAGCAGGCGTCAGAACATATTTTGTGGCTTTGAGGTCACACCCTCGTTCCAATTATTTCGGCGCTACGTGCCCTTGAGGTAGGTTTTTTTAGGAAACTCGAAAGGGAAGAAGCCAAGGCCATTGGGGAACATCCATTGTCACACATACACCGGTGGCTGGTTTTGCGAAGTCTCCAAGTGAAGTTCTTGGTCTTGTTTGGTGTGACCTGATCCGGAACCTGACCATGTAGGCGAATGACCAGGTTTGAATCCAAACCTGTGCCAAGTTCAGGAGCCAGATTCCGGGCGTCAAACCGGTCTGCAACATAGCGCAGGCTGACATGTTTCCTTTGGAGAAAGTCGACTGGTTCAAGGCCAAGGGGTATCTGGCTGATAAACCCATCGGCGTTCATGAATCAGCGGGCAATACAGGTTTCCAGCCAAGTCGCCCACCACTATCGTCGGAACTCCATGGCCGTGATCCTGAGTATATATTCTGAATCGCCGTGCGCATCATATGATGCTTTCGATGTCTTGTTTTCGCGTTGGCTACAGAGCAGACAATTCTACATTTCAATAATGGAGTTCTGGGTTTTGAAGCAAACAGTGATGCCAAGTTTTGTCTCAAGCATGGCATGTACAGACCTCCAGCTGCCCGGTGTGGCACCACATCGTCACCCAATTCTGGGCTCCCTTTTGACCCTGGCCTGGGCGACTTGAATGGCTCGAGGCAAAAGCTTCGAGATGGTGGTGAACCAAGTGGTCAAGCAGCTCAGACGAATTTCCACCCTTGTTGCCGTTGTTGCCATTGTCGTCGTTGTCGTCGTTGTCGTCGTTGTTGTCGTTGTCGTTGTTGGTGTCGGTGGTGGTGATGACCCAAAAGCGAGCCCCATCTCACCCTAGGTACTCAGCGCGAAAACGGCCGTGGTGGTGTTTGCTTGTTGGTTGGTTGGTGCGTGTTTTTGTCTTGTTTGGCCTCCAACTTTTGCCGCCAAGTGGGCAGGACCAGTCGCCCCAATGGATAAGGCATCATTGCTGTTGAGCTCTTGCTTGAACGCCATGTCAATGGTGGTGCGGAGCTAGCCTGGTCCGCTTTCGCTCTTTCTGTTTTATCCGAGCAACTCCGAAAGTCAAATGGATTTTGCAACTCACTCTTTTGTGTACATATTCAAAAGAAACAAAATAACATACAGACCGAAAGTCCCAAAATAAAGGGGCCATGTTTACAGGGTCATGGAGACTTTAGGTGGATTAGGATGAAGCACCCCCCCCTTGGTGTTAATCAACCAGGGTTTGATTCATCCTTGGGTACCATTCCCGACTTGTCGTTCATGAATCGTTGTATCCCCAATCTCCTGTCTAAGGAATCTCAGGCATAGGGCCCTCGTTTTCCACACGTGCCATGGTTTCTCTGTGCCCATTTTGCCCCCATGCTGAAAGGAGATGAGTGATTGGCACGGGTCTCCGGAGACGACGTTATATCATTTCCCTTACTTGTACACACAATTAGAGCTTGAGCTCTCGGAGTTGCTGGACTTTAAACTTTTTGGGCAGACTGTTTAATTTAGTGGTAAACAGCAAGTTTGGACTTTTCCTGGCCAACCCACTGAGGATGTCAGCGAGAGAGAGATAGAGCGAGAACACAATTAAACACTTGTTGTAGTGGGGATTCTTCACAGACAACGTGACAGGTTGATGAATTGGGTTCCCACCAAGGGACTTGTATTTTGACTAGGGGAGTCAGAACTGGGCTCCTGTCCCTCAAACCAGTTCGACTTCGGCAGCTGTCAAAGCATTCGCCTCCCCAGACCCCAGACCCTGTCATGAATCCCTGTTCCCCTGTTGTTCCAAAGGCGATGTTTCTGTTTCTCGCCCTTTCTCAGAAGTAGTCCTGCAAAACAAAAAGGGTCGCCGAAACACTTCCAGGAAGCCGACGAGCGAGATGGAGTTGGTGGACCTGGAGCTGTACCTGGAAGAGTTTCGGTCCAGCGGGCTCAACCGACTGCTCAAGGAGCCACTTGGAAGGAACGCCCGTCCCAAAAAGGCGCCAGGCGGGCAAGAGGAAGGGCAAGGAATGTTCTCCAACAAAAACCTGGTGGTTACTCCCGCTCCAGCCCCAGTGGAATCCCCTGTCAACTTGCTGGTGCGAGAGTTGTTACAGGAAATGACCCCGAAATAGACCATCCCCGATTTCCGATTGGGCTTCCTTTAAGGGAATCCGATTCACTCGTTCCCCAGGCTGAGCAGCAAGAAAGGGGCCCAGCCCTGAAATGTGCATGGGTGGCTCTCAGAATGTGACCAGGCCCAACATTTGCGGCACCGGTTGCTATGGATGAAGAACTGGTGCAGGATTTCGTCCATCCAACTTCCCTCAAAAAGGGTTGGTGTCCTGTCGGTTTCCCTTCAACAACTACTCAGAAGGGGGTCCGCCTGGACTGTTGTGTGACGCGCCCCATCGGGCTGTTTGTTTGGTTGTTTCTTGGCCAGGCAACATCGGTTGGGGTACTCTTTTCTTAGCCGAGATCTGCTAACTTGTTTGTTCTTGCAACCAACGAGCTTTCTAATCCTGATTGCCAGACTTAGCTTGGCTTCTTGCTTGGCTTTTCTGAATGCCCCTTTCAGCCAGCAAGCTACTATACTTTTGTAGAGGCGCCCTACTCCTCAGTCCTAAGGTTCGAATCCATCCGGGGCTGGCTCTCCTTTCTGTTCCACTGTGAGGACGGGATGATCGCGTTTGTGTCGCGTTGCTTTCGGTCGATGCCTTGTTTCCCACCGGATCCACGTACAGGCCGGGGCTCCACATCGAAATTAAAGGGAACTCGTTTGTTTCATTCGAGATCCCTGGTTTCCCTCCCTGCGCCAATGGAAAGCAATGTGTCAGCAGGGCAGACACGGGTTGGGAATTTCTGGGAGTCATCTACAGCAAGCATTGGGCAACCAAACAAGAAGGATACCAGCAAGCGACAATATTACCCACCACCAGAAACAATTGGCCGCCCAAAAACGAGACCTTAAGCTACTGTGAATGGAAGAATTCCAGCACCTAATAAGTCCTGCACCAAAGGAATCGTGGGAAACCATTGTCCATCGGTATTTACAGGGGAATCCGAATTCCAGGGTTTCTTTGGTGGTGCGAAATGGGATTTCGTCCATGCACGGCAGTTGTGTCCATTGCGCAGCTACACATTGATCTCCATTTTATGGACTCTTTCCACCCACTGCCTTTGATCTAGGGTGGCGCAAAGCCATGCAGGGTGCCATGATACACCATGTTTCATCAATCTCACTCAGGCCGCTGCTTTCTTTTACCAGGGTGTCCTTTATTTCCCGTGGGTTTAAACATCACCTGAGATTTGAAGTAAGTCTCCTTCGCCGATGTTCGGGAAACCTGGCAACCCCTTTGGCCGAAACATGCTTGTTCTTTGGAAACATTTTACATGTTTGCTTATTGTGGTTTAGTGGTTGGAATCCAACCACTTTCCTGCTAACATTTCAATATTTTTGCTCCCCAAACCCAACGTCAACCAAGGAAAGTCCCCCAATCCGGTCGTACCCCACAGGCCCAACATGGAGCGCACGGAGAGTCCGTTTCGGTCCCACGCCAAGCCCAGGTGTCCGAAAAGCATGGGAGAAATTCGGGCCGTGGGCGGGAAACCAATTTGGATGGTAAAGAATGGTACATGAATGCCCCCATAGGTTTTGGTGGTTTAAAGCCAACCTGAGGGTACCTAGACTCTCCATGATCCTTGAAAAAATGGGGTCATTACTCAAAAGAAAGGGGTCATGACCCCATTCTTAAAGGGTCGTGGAGACTCTAGGTATGCCCTCCTACAAAGAAAGCGCGCCACTGGGGCTCGGGCCTTCATAAGTTTGACTGGTCAGTTGGTTGGTCTTGGAACTCACTCCCCGAGTTCCGTCTCGGATCGTTTCGGACTTGAGTCACTTGGGCTTGGACCTTGGGACCCCGGCAGATGGAAAGTTTGGGGACCTTTTTCTGGCCAATCCACTCAGGTGTGGAAAGAGATGCAAACAGGCAAACCAGAAAATGGCGTGGGTGACCCTTTCTTTACATGCCCAAATGAAGCCACACCGATAGCCCTTGCATGAGGAAGGCTTCAACCAAGACTGCCCCTTAACTCAGGGGGGGTTCATGGCCCCTTAGAGCCATGGCAAGGCGAGCTAGATGTAGCTTGAATATCTGGATGACCCTTCTTGCAATGGCTTTGGATCAGCATTTGCTCCCGACTTGCTTGAACAAAGAAGTGTATTGGAATGAGCTCCCTCCGTGAACCGATGGCTTTCCAGACTTGCTTGCTCTTAGAAGGGTATTGGAATGAGCTCCCTCCGAAGCAGGCAGATTGCTGCTCGATGTTTCAATTTCTGCCAGTTGGCAACGTTTACCCGACTACCATGGAAGCCAAACTTCAGGCCCCCTCATGAAACTTCAGGGCGGCGCACTGATTGGCCGGTTTCCATGCGACCTCCAAAGTTCGCACTTGCTAAATTCAGACCGGACAACGAGCCAAGCGACCTGGGTTGGCACCCCCGAAAACAACAGATGTTTCCTCAGCATTCGTTTGAAACATGGGGTTCATTTATCCAAAGCGTCGTCAAGACAAGGCGCCGTGATTTTCTTCCCATTCGTTTGAAACATGGGGTTCCCCGAATTTGGATTTATCCAAAGCGTCACCTTTGAGGCAGCACCAGGGCCTTATCTAGGTCCCCAGCTAGGTGCCCTGTCTCACCCTTTTTTGGTTGGGACCCTTATTCTAACCTCTCTTCTGGAGGACCTAGTTATTTCTCGGAAACATTTGGGGTGAGGCGTTCCGCGGCGTTCGGTCGGCAGGACGAGCTCATGTTGGAACTCCTCGAGGAGCGGCATTTTCAGGCCATCTACGACTCGGCGATTTGGGTGGACTCCATTCAGGAGCTCCACGTGCTGTTTTTGGGTTTGGACCATTCTAGTGGTGAACAAAGAGTGTGGTTACCTTTTCCGGCCAAAGTTTGGTTGTTTGGTTAGTTTTTGGGTCTGGTTACCATTTTGGTGGTTGGACCATTTGTTCCCACAAGAGTAGACATTGTTGTGAGTCACGTTTTGGGCTTTGGCTACCATGTTGGTGGGAAATGAACAGCTTGGTTGCTTTTTCCGCCCAATCACTCAGGAAGTGAGGTTGGTTTGGTGAGGGAGGGAGAAACGAAACGATGATCAATCTGCCTATTTTTTGGCGAGCGCACCGATTCGGGGGTGCAACGAGCTCACCATAGTAAAAGGTCCTTTATTGGTGTGATCCCTTAAGTTCAGCTTTTGGAGCTATTGTAAACAAATACAGACCGACCTTGAATCAAAGATTCGCAGAGATCGCGAGGAGGATCCCACCACCCAAGCTCCCCCTGACTTTCGACGTTTAGACTTTGTCGTGCAAGGTTGAAATGGCTATTTCCCGCCATAGCAAAGCTGACCCCAGATAAAGTTGGTTCCTCAGTTGATTAGGGGCTTGTTGATTCGTTACGTTGTTCTTCGTCTCGAGTCGTTTCCCCAACAGAGAACGCGGGCAACGCCTAAGAGGGCTTCCCTGAATAGGAAAGTAGTCTTCCGAAAACTCAGCATGTTCCATGATTGTTAGAGGCGGGGAAAGCTGCATTCACCAGGTTTGCATGTTGTTTCAAGTCATCATTTTTGTTGTTTTTTTGTTTTGCTGATTTCAGGCCTTTTGCAATGTCAGCGCAACTAAACGCTCCCACATTTGCCATAGTCAAAAGACCCTTTATTCGAGGGTTGTTAGGGATGGTCGTCAACTCTTTAGCGAAGAATTTCGACAACCAACGCAAGGCGTTCGAGAAAGGGAACCATGGCGTCGCCATAAGTCTTGCTGGTGAAAATGCTGCCAGTCCATATGCGCCAAGGTTAACAGGGATGGTGATCCACCTGGCACTAAGAAACCTGAATAAACCGTTGTAGTGGTTCCTACTCAGGTAACCATGACAATAGACGAGTTATCGAGTCGTCCACATAGGCGACACCGAAATCGTCCAATGGCATGAAATCTGAGCCTCGGTCCACTGGAAATCCGGGCGAGTCGATCCAGGACCGTGTCTTCGACGGCAACCTGAAGCGCGAGCGCGAGGCGCCTCGGCGCTCACTGGACCGGAAAACGTGATGCCTGTGAAGATCTGGGGCACAGAAGTTCAACCCCCCATCAAAAGAATGGCAAGGACACAATTTGGATGATGATTTTCCTTTATTGTATGTGTCTTTTTGTTCACCCCGTTATGATTTAATGGTGGTGAAAAAACCTCAGGGCTTACGCATCCCGAGAAATGATTGCGGTACGACTATGCGGCACACTTGCAAAGTGGGGAAATGTGTTGCACTTTGGAACCCCGTTTCCTGCCTCCTTCAGGCGGGGGGCCACAAGAAAAGCGATTATTTTTGGGCTCTCTTTAATTTAAGCCAAGCTGACAGTTAAATGCATCAGTAACTAGGGACCCCCACCCAAGCCATGTTGTTTGTCCAGTTTGCCACTAAACTTTTAGATCCTTAAAGGGAATCCTCGAAAATAGCAGACCCAATGGACGAGCTTTCTTGCGAGGCCCTCGAGAGCAAGTTCAAAGAGCAGAGGAATAAGTTCTTGGAGGACCACGCCAAGCGCGCGTTCTGCGCGCAAACCTAGTTGTGTTTACTGGTTTGGGGGGGTCACTGACCATTTCTTGGATGATATCCTAGCTCCGAACGAGATTTGTTTTTGGGAAGGGGAGCAAAGATGGTTCACCGAGGAATGGAGCCTAGCCGCTGTTGGCTGCAACCAGCATCCGGGACGAAATGCGTGGTCAGCTTTGCCCTTAAACCCACCAAACCCATGGCTGTAAGTCTCTGAGTGGGTTATAGCCAGGCAGCAATCATTCGCTAATTCCCGTGAAGGTATCAAAACCAACCCGCCATTTGAGGGTGCTAGGGCCATTCAGACCCGCAGGACCTGGAAGGCTACAACGAGCAGGTGGACTTGCTCCGGGAGTGCGGGAACCTGCGGCAAACCGATGAGCCGCTAGGGCGAATGTGCGGATGGTTCACGGGGGCGAATGTGCGTTGGGACAGACGGTTAGACGACACCCAGGGTAGGAGCGGATATAAGGATGTAGCGGTGCGTTAAATTGGGGGTGGGGGGGGCTTCTACGTGAAAGGGGTACCTTGAATACAACACAGTATTACATGTGGAGTCCGGGGCCTGTTTTTGAGGCAATTTACTTGCTTTGGAGCTATTGAAAGCAGGGGACCTGAAGGAAAACAGTTATTATTGTTGCGCCCTGATGTTGAGAGACAACCAAATCTGAGCGGGGCATCCCGTCCGCTGAATATTGTAAGTTGTTGCCGTTGCTGCTTAATTGGAAAATTGCAGTTTTTGGGCCGTATGCATCGAAGCCTGAGGCGGGTTTCTCCAAACAAGTTCTTCTGTGTTGTGTTTCTTGTGATTGTGTGTTGTGTCGGGTTGTGCTTGCTTGCTTGCTTGCTTGCTTGCTTGCTTGCTTGCTTGCTTGCTTGCTTGCTTGCTTGCTTGCTTGCTTGCCTGCCTGCCTGCCTGCCTGCCTGCCTGCCTGCCTGCCTGCCTGCCTGCCTGCCTGCCTGCCTGCCTGCCTGCCTGCCTGCCTGCCTGCCTGCCTGCCTGCCTGCCTGCCTGCCTGCCTGCCTGCCTGCCTGCCTGCCTGCCTGCCTGCCTGCCTGCCTGCCTGCCTGCCTGCCTGCCTGCCTGCCTGCCTGCCTGCCTGCCTGCCTGCCTGCCTGCCTGCCTGCCTGCCTGCCTGCCTGCCTGCCTGCCTGCCTGCCTGCCTGCCTGCCTGCCTGCCTGCCTGCCTGCCTGCCTGCCTGCCTGCCTGCCTGCCTGCCTGCCTGCCTGCCTGCCTGCCTGCCTGCCTGCCTGCCTGCCTGCCTGCCTGCCTGCCTGCCTGCCTGCCTGCCTGCCTGCCTGCCTGCCTGCCTGCCTGCCTGCCTGCCTGCCTGCCTGCCTGCCTGCCTGCCTGCCTGCCTGCCTGCCTGCCCTTTGCGCCGCAGAGCCCACCGAAGTCAAAGAGATGATGCGAGCACTGGAGGTTCCCCCCTTTTTTTGGTCGCTTTTAAGGGGAGATCAAGCAGAAACGCCACGTTGGGGGATCCAAATCCAATTTGTTGGGAAACATGTTTGCTTCTTGTGGTTTAGTGGTTGAAATCCAAGCACTTAACTGCTAAGATTTATAATTTGTTCCTCCCCAAACCCAAGGTCAACCAAGGTAAGACACTGGTAACTAAACGTGTCTTCCAACCTTGCCACTTGTAGTGCCCTTTTACACTTTTTTGGTTGGGAGGGTTCCCCTGCTAAAATAGACCAAACAGAAAAGAAAGTTGGTAGCATCTTATTCCAACCTCTCAAATCTGGAGGACCTAGGCAAAGTGGTTGGAATCTGTTTGGGGTAGTCCCATCGGTTGTTTTAACGCGAACACTGCCAGGAATATCCACCGGCGCCTTTTGGCTTCAAACCAAAGCGTCCTTTCAGGTGCCTGGAGCGCATCCAGTCCCTGAAGAGTAGCTTCGCGCGGGCCCACGTGGAGGCTGAGAAGCTGAATGCCAAGGACCGAAAGGGCGGACGTAGGGTACCCCCGACTCCAAATACCTGTTTTTTTTAGGGTATCATGTCGACCCTCTACTAAAAGAGGAGGTATTTACCTGGAAAAACCAGGTTTTCCAAAAAGTACCCTAGAAACAGTGGGTATTGGGAGTGGGGAGTATAAGGACTGTAAGGGTCTAAATTCTGCGGATGGCTGCGAAATCCATCTCGCACCTCACAAACCCTGGAATGATTTGATTCTCCTGTAGATGCCAACAATGGTCCTCAATGGTTTCAACGTGGTGCGAAATGGATTCCGTCCATCCACAGGTCTCCTTTTTCAGGTGGACCTTTGAAATGGGTTCTTTCCTCTTGTCCTGTAAGCACACATATAAGAGCAATAAGGGTACCCCTTTAAAGAAGAATCTTTTGGGGACATATTTAGACCGTATTATCCAACTTTCGTTCAAACAACTTCCTGTTGGTCCTGCTTCCACCCCACCTGAGAATTCAGGGCTGATTATGGAATTTCAGTTGCCAAACTTGCGGCCCCAAGTACGACCACATAAGGCTCTGGCGGCTGTGTTGGGAAGGGGTTGGTAATGTCCCTGACCAATAGATGTTGATTCCAGGAACAGCATTTGGGTGTATCTTATGACAAGCCCCCGTTTTACCTTGATATTTGATAGGTGCAGGTACTTTGTCGCGTTTTCTTCTTGAGCAAGTGGAGCAACGGTTATGGCAAGTGAACATGGCTTAAATCTCCCCTTGTTGCTGCTATCAGAGTGCGTTGTTTTTTGGAGTTTACCATTTTTCTGGGGTGGTGTCAGTGGTGTCCAATGGAGACGAGGAAGACACCATTTCTGTCGGATCCATATCCAGAGTTCAAAAACCATTTTAGGCCATATTAGTTCTACGACTTGGTTTCATCGGCGAGCCCTCGAAGCCACGTATAAGCCGCTTTCACCCATCGGTTTGGGCGTTGATCATTTTGAGACCGGCCCACAAGCCGGGGCTCATTCATTTTCCCATGGCCTTAGACAAGCGAGTCCATGGCTAATATCCTACAGTTATTACACGCCCCGCAGATTGTGACGCTGTCATTTTGGCTTCCCTTGAAACCAAATTCCAACAGGCTACTTTAAACAGACCCAGCTCGGTTTCCCTTCAAACCAACCCAAAAAAAAGAGCTACCTACAAAAGCTGCCCAAACCAGCCCAGGGCATAGTTTGGGCCCATCGACCCCATAGCTTTCAGCTATTGTGGCTGGAGAATCAACCGAACCTTCTCCTATCAACTGAACCCACGGTTTCATTTCGTGGTGCGATTTCTGGATTTCGCCACCATCCGCCGTAGCCTTCCAGCTGGCGCAAAAAAAACACGAACCTACACTCTCCATGACCCTTGCACCCTTTCTTTTGGTTAGTGACCAACCATGTTTTAAGGGTCAGAAGGGGGCTCCAGGGGGCCAGCCGGGACCGAGCGCTTGAGCGGCCAGGAGAAGCGCTTCGGCTGGGAGGTACGGAGCCCCTTCGAGCAGCTGAAGCGCGGCGAGACGGCGCTGGAGCCTTACTTCCTCCTTTGGACCGGGCACCAAAAAACTCACAACAACAGGTGGGTGGGTGTGGGTGTGGGGGTGGGTGGGTGGGCGGGCGGGGGGCCGGGCGGGCGGGCGGGCGGGCGGGCGGGCGGGCGGGTGGGTGGGTGGGTGGGTGGGGGTGGGTGGGTGTGGGTGTGGGGGGGGGGGGGGGTGTAGCGAGGTTGGTAGGTGGTATTGCCTGAGGGTGGCTTTTGTTGGTCAAAGGCCTGTATCAGCCTTGATAAACAAGCATGATGTTGTGGAACAAGAAGTCAAGGGAGCGGTAAAGGAGGATTGCCCCTTGGTTACGAGCTTTGGAGACATGGAGGCGAAGTTGCGGGGTGGTCAATCACATCAAGCCATGTTACGTTTTGGGTTAAACGATGGAACAGAATCAATACTTTCGGTTGGGGGGAAACGTTGGGGCAGGTATTTACTACCAACAGTCATCCACATGTTGGAAGCTTTGTTATCCCATGTAGGTCCATACTTAAGGCGAAAACAAAAAAGTTCCCCCTCATCTTTGGGATCCCCAAACCATGGGAGAGGAGGCGTCCTTTGGAAAAAGGAGCTTGGTTGGTGGTTTGGACTGATGGTTTGATGGTTAAGGGGTCCAGGTGGTGGTGTGTGGTTTGGAGGTGAAATGGGGGTGGCTCTGCAAACGCCCAAGAGTCCAAATCCGAATCCAAACCGCCAATCTAAACCACCCAATTTTGAAAATGTCACTTCAATGGACCCAGTGCTTGAGTAAATGGATCGGCTTTCTCATGGCACCTCAATATTATGATCCTTGCCAGCCCTTGCTTTCTATCCCGGTGCCAGACGGGTACGCTCTGACATCAGGCGGGACATTGCCCCAGAGGTTATTCGCAGTTTGCTTCTCGGAACTCGTTGCACGCTGCCTACGGCAACAGGACAAAGGGGTCATTTGCTTGGGATATCTTTGAGAGGTGTGCTTTATTGCCCTGCCCCAAACATGAAATTGCATATGGGAAATCTTTTGCATTTTGCTTTGCAGCGCATTCGCGGCACATTGTGCCTACAAAACCCTTGTTTGTCATCATGTTGTGATGAATCCAATTGGGGAACCTCCGCCCCCCCCCCCGCCCCGTTCTTGGTGCCATATATTAATTTCAGATGGGAGTAGGCAAGTCCGATTCGATCAGGTATGTCGTCCTCGCCTTCAGGCACCCTTCAAGCCGCCCCAACCTCGTTTGGCCCACACTTCGGCTGGATCTTATGGTTTCAAAGCTGTCGGGCCGCAGTCAGTAGGTCATACCCTACTGCGCATAAGATGGTTGCGAAATCCATTTCGCACCACGAGATGAAACCGTGGTTGAAGCCATTGTTGGTTGGTATTTACAGGGGATCATTCGAAGCAACTTTTTTGTGTGGTGCGAAATGGTTTTCGTCCATCGACAGTATGGTTACATGAGGACTAACCCCAGTCACACCAATTCTATTCAAGGTTATAACCAAAGTCGCAAAGTAGGGCTGTTGTACTATGTTGTTGGTGCCCCTGAATATGAGTGGGCACCTTGTTCGTTGCCTTGCGGAGTCAAGACCCTGTGAATGCAAAGGCAGAGAGAGAGAGAGAGCGAACCTACTTTGGTTAGACGTCCAAGTGGCCCACCCGGTGCAGGACGTTGGCCTACAACATGGACCGGGGCATGCGGACCTGGCTGAAAGGGCCTCTCTTCCAACTCGAGCCCGCGAAGGTGGAGCTGGAGGTGCCTTGATGTAAGATGGTTCCTGACCTCAGCTCTTCGCCCAGAGGTTTTTGAAGATATAAGTGATACTGTGGATGGACGAAATCTTGCACCACCCAAGAAACAATGGAAAACCATTGTTTGTTGGTATTTACAGGGGAATCATCATTCCCAAGGTTTTTAAGTGGTGCAAGATTGCGTCCATCCACCGTACTGTGGATGGAAACCCTGGTTTCTGATGATTCCCCTGTAAAAACCAACAAACGTCATGGTTTCAACCATGGGTTGCAAAGTGGTGCCTAAGAGGATTTCGCCACCAGCCAGAGTAGTTCTATGTGCCGGGGCTACAACCAGGATTGCTAACCACCAATCATGTGGATTCGTTAAGGCGGGCGCAGGCAGGAATATTCACCACCACAATAGAAAGTGCCTGTCGCTTTCACCAATGAACGGAAGCTGGCGCTCTCTCTCTCGCTCTCAGGCAGGGATGTCAGGAACACATAGGGCGCCCATTGGAATGGATTCGGTTCCCCCACAGTATCTTCCATTTGCTTAAGAATATGTTTGTTTTTCCCTTGTTGGTTTTTTTAAAGGGAATCCATCACTACTGGAAATACTTTTTTCCCAGTGGTCGTAACCAAATGGAAGGTACCCCCTACTCAGGGCATTGTTTGGAAAACCTGGTTTTTCAAGGTAAATACCTCCTTTTTTAGTAGAGGGTCGACATGACACCCTAAAAAAAGGTAGGTATTTGGAGTCAGGGGTATGGCTTTGGGTCGCCTCGAGGTGTGCAGCATGCGGGAGGAGGCGGCGAGGCTCAAGCAGGTGTTCCTCGCCGGTGGAGGTGGGGCTCCCCAGCCGAGAAACCGCGGGGAAGACTGCGGATGGTTGCGAAATCCATTTCGCACCACGAAATGAAACCATGGTTGAAACCATTGCTTGTTGGTATTCACAGGGGAATCATGTTTCCAGGGTTTCTTGGGTGGTGCGAAATGGATTTCGCAACCATCCACAGTACTGTGGATGGAAGAGAAATCCGCCTCTCGCACCACCGTTCAGAATCCCCTGGTTTCGGATAGTTCCCATGTAAATACCAAACAAACGTTCTCTTTTCGTGGTGCAGGGTTTTGTCCATGCCACAGTATGAGAGCCTGAACTCTTGTTTCTCGAAATTTGGCACTCTACCCTTCTTCTTACCTCTGTACTGGAGGACCTAGTTTACATTATCTAAGATGGGGTCCCCGATTTTGAGACACGGCCAAATAGCAAGAATGTGATTTAGCGGTTCATTTGCCGGGGGCATTGGTTTGTCATAGGGGAATAGGGTACAAATAAGAAGGACCCCTTTGCAAACTTGTCCACAAGCTTACATGTCACAAAAAGAACTATGATGAGGATAGTATCCTCATGTTTTGGAAGACCCCCTAATTATTTATGCAGACCAATTACTTCATGTGGAGGCTTATTACCAAGGGTTGGGGAGCCTTTTGCCGTACCCTCCCCTTCTTGTTGAGGAATCCGACGAGGAGGCTATGGAACATGTGGTTTCTGAAACGGATGATGGGTCTTTGTACCAAATTTGTAGTGTGTAGAAACTTACCCACAGGACCAAAGCTGGGCGGGGCGCTGCATGTTTTGACATTTTACCAGTAGCTCAATTTGAAGCAAACAATAACATATACATTCTATCGCTGGGCCTAACTTCTAATCATGAAAGGGGTGCGAGTGTTTTTTTGGATTGAATTCCAGACCCCCCCCTCCCGCCCGGCACCCTCACCCCCGCTGTAAGCGCACCCAGCTCGGAGCACCCATACCCCGCGTCGATGGGACGGAGGCCAAGTCTACCCGGACGAGCGAAACCGCGCTCGGACGGCGTCTCAAGACTCGGAAGAGGAAGCAGAAGTCCTGGCGCCGGTGACGTAGCGGAACTTTGGGACTTTGAGCTGGGCCATGCTGGGACTGTCCTTTTGGGGAGTTTTTTGTTTTTTCTCCGAGGTACCCCTTTTTCAGTGGTTTTAAAGGGAAACTGAAAGGAAAGCCACTATTTTGTTTGGTCGGCTTACTTTGTCACTCACCCCAAAGCGAATCCTGGCCTGTCTTTTGGTTTCCCTCGGTGCAACCACATTGAGTCCAGGTCCTTGGGCTGAGTTCCACTCGCTCCCTTGAGAACTCTACACTAAACCGGTTGGCTTGGACCGGTTTTTGTTCGGAGCTTTCTGGCCGGACAGCTTTCTGTCAAGCTTTTCACTTTATGTTTCTGGTTTGTCCGTGTTTCAGAGTGGTGTTTGGTTGCCCAGACGTGTTTTGTTGTCGTGTCGCCTTTCGCTTGAACGTGTTGTGTGTGCGTTCTTGGTTTCGGTGTTTTGGTGTAGTTAGAAACCAGTTTTTGGTTGCAGCACGTGTTTCTTGTATTTTTTCCAGACGTGTGTCTTTGTTCTGCTCTCTTTGTTCATTTAGTCGCGCGTTCTTTGTTTTGTTGGATTTTTTCCCTTGGTTTGGACACGCAATTTGATGTGGATGGCTAAGTGGCACTTTGCCCAGGTGACAGTGGCAGAGGAGCTGGGAGAACAAGCGGCGGTGATGCAGGACACGTGTGATTCTGTAGGCCCCAGTTGCTTGTTTACTAGCTCCCCCACCAGTGGTCAACCCAAAACAGGTCAACTTACAAAGTTTGGTGGGATTCTCCCTTAAAGGCTGCCCCCAACAGGTCTCCTCCTTTTCTTCGCCTGGCTCATGGAGCAACGGGAGACTGTTGTCCTGGCTCTTGGGCAGTTGGGTTCGGCAGCTGGCCTTTTTTTTTGTGTGTTACACACCTCTTCTTTGGGGGGTCCTATCCAGCACAGAGCCCTGAGGGCGGTGTGTTTGTTTGTTTGATCTGTTCTTCACGGTTTTTGCTTGGCAGAGCCGGATTCAACCGTTCCTTGCAAATGGTGGTGGACAAAGAGTTATGCCGTTTTCCCAAACATCGGAGTTGAGCCCACTTTTTTTTTGCGGCTTCCGTATGAGTGTCCAAAGTTTTGAATAGTTTGCTTTCGCGAATGGCCGTGAGTCAAAGGGTTTAGAACAACCAGCATATGGGTGTGGCTCACAATTAACCAGGAGGGGCAAACCGCAGGTTTTGGTCCATGTTTCCACTTACCAGGGCAACCCATTTTGGAATTCCGGTTTTTTGAGCCACAGCCATATGTCAGAAAGGATCCCTTCTCAGAAGGGAAGGCTAAAGCAGGTGAGTGCCCTGGAGGACACGCACCTGAAGCTGCTGCATGCCCTTTGCAATAGCTGCGCCTCGGTGGCCAATTCGACGTGCCAGGGTTCAGGGCTTAAACCAACCCGTTTTTTTATGGATTCCCCCTTTTGGTGGCATTAAACATCACCAGTTTGGCCGGTTGAAGGTTTGATCCCCTTGGTAGGGGTGATTTTTTGAGCGGGAAATGTTAGGGGGGGCTGGCAGAAGCATCCGTTCTTGGGCCAAACGGTTATCCAAAAAGGGAACTTTTCCAAAAAGGGGGCTTTAGCCTGGGAAGCTAAATGGGCAACCCGGGTAAATGAGGGTAAGGGATACCCCTCTTCCTTTGCCGCCTTTTGAATTCTTGAAGCATGGTTCTGGAGAAACCATTTTAAAACCGATGGGTCCTTCCCTGGACTGCTTGCTCCCAGCTCGTTTTGGCTGGCTCACAAGTTTCTAGTTCCTATTTTAGCGGGGGTGCTGCAAAGAACAAATTTTACTAACATAGCAAGTCTGATCATCCAGGAAAATCTCAAGGCATCGCCCAAACCCTTGCTTTGCAGCTTGCTGCTGGGTGTTGCTTGGTGCTTGGTGAGCGTTTCTCAGAAGAAAGTTTTGAAGAAGCCAGGAACATGTTTGTGGGCGCTTCCAAGAAGTTCTCTGTGGGCGCTTTTATAGGATGTTTCACCCCTTGAACCCATGTTTCGTCTAAAAGGGTTTGTGGCGGCTTTCTTCGTGTTTCTTGGTTTCAGCTAGGTTTTGGGTCGGCTTCGCCACGCCGTCTGTGGGCTTTCGGACGCTTTGGACTTTGTCAGGTTTGCAGCGGCGGCACTGGGAGCAGATCTCCGCGATCATCGGCTTCCCCCTGGAGCCCGACACCAGCTTCACGCTGTCCAAGGCCATCGAGCGCCCCGGAGCGGAACTTCCGGGGGGGTGGGGGGGAGGGGGTGGGGTAGGGACTTCATTGTTGTTGCCATGATTGTTGTTTTTGTTGGTTCTGTTCATTTGTACCAGGGGACCGCATTGGCGTGTTTGTAGGTTCATTGGTTTTATTATGTTGTGTTCCTTCGTTATTTCTGTTTGTTTACTGGGCTGCTAGCAGCATTTGTTGCTACCATAACCATGCCAAGGGTTGGACAGACTTTGCAGACAACCGAAAACACCCAATACCCTGAAGAAAGAGGTTGCACAGTTCACAAGTGTCCAGTAAATAAGGGGGGACGTCCGTGGATGCGGTGCTGATTTGAGCATACCCCAGATTGGCAAGGTTCGGGGTAGACTGTTAATGCCCCCGGGAGCGAAGACCCTGGCCCCAACCGACTCCTTTTACAGGATTGGAGACTTGAGGAAATGGCTACCCTTTGGGGGCCCCCCTAAAACCTAAACCAACCCCTACGCCGCAGCTTTACTCCCAGACACAGAGTCCATCAGAGGTCAAGCCCTCGCTGCGCCCTTGGCTGTCCCTAATCTCAGGATGTTGCGCCTACGCGAACATCATTCTCCAACATGGCGCAAAATAGCCTCACACATGCTTGCTCAAAAGGTATGGTGCTAAGATGGCACTGAACGGGTCCATTCCGCGACTATGGTTCTTTTGGCTTGGTGCAAATAGGCTGGTGTCTTTGGCACCGGGGGGTTCCTTTTGCTTTTTTGTTGGAGGGGAGCAGCCCTAGTCAACTAACTACCCTAAGGCTCCCGATTTATTTAGGGTCATGGAGAGTCTAGGTAGCAACCCGCATACCAGGAGCAACACCGGAAGGGGTCATTTTGTCACCCAACAACTCACAGGTCAAAGATGGGCTAGGGCCTTGAATTTGGGATTTTCCTCCCCCCAAACCTCCCGAGGTATTTAGGGCCCTCAACGGCCAGGGCTTGAGACCCCCAACCACCTCTCGGGGTGTCCAATGGAGGGCTCGGGTTTTTCTTCAAGCCCAGGAGCTGGGGTTCGGTGGGTTTTCGGGCCATTCGCTGCGATCTGAGGATGGAGGTGGGGCAGTTCACCGAGGAGTTGGGAGAGGTGAGCGAGGCCGCCAGCAAGGAGATCCGGAAGTTCCAGGGATCACTCAGTAGACTCTCCATGACCCTTGAACTTCCCGAAAAAATAGCTCCCCTTGTCTTTTTGCTTTTTTGGGGTCCCTTTGTTTCCACCAACCAGGCAAACAACATTTTTGTTTGCCGGGGTCCAAATCCCAGCCTAGTTAAAACACAGGGTCACTACCCAAAAGAAAGGCCATGTTTAAAGGATCATGGAGACTCTAGGTACACCTTGTTCAGTGGTTTTTGCGGGAAACCAAAAGGAAAGTCACCGTTTTGTTTGGCGGGGGGAGGGGGGGTACTTTCACTCACTTGTCCGAAGCCAATCTGTGATTTTGATTAGTGGTTTGGATTTAGATTTGAACCCTGGTTCTTGTAGAGGCTGAATGGGAAAGCCCTCCTTAACCACCAAATCACAAATCCAAACCACCAACTAAGGAGAAGCTGATTAGTTCCCCAAAGCTGACCTCTTTATTTTTTGCCTTTGGGGTGGTAAGAGAGGCCATGGACCTCCTTTCAACCATGCTTCAACCATGGCCACCAGCTTCTCACTCCCTGAGCCTTACCTTGGCTTTTCACAGATAGGTTTTGAAGCCGGTCACTTTCACAGATGAAAGGTATACATTGTATACACCAAACCTATCTTTCATTTTGACTTTGGGACCACTTTTCTTTGGTCTTGAGACTCATGAAGCCGGTAGATGCGTTCTGTTAAGACCTTCATCCTTCTCAGTGACTCAACAAAAGTTGGTTACTTTTGTTTCCCCAATCCACTCACGGAGAAGTCATCAAACCTTCGGCTTTCAGTTTGGGAGGAGTATGCCATCGAGATGAGCATCGAGGCTATGGAGGAAGAGTGGACCATCGCACGGTTCTACTTGCAGTCCTGGCCCTTCGGAAAGGATTTGCCTTTCGAGTGTTGGCATTTGCTGGCGGTTCAATCCGCGAGCTGGTCATGTCCTACCCGGTGGAAACCAGCTAGAGCAATCTTAGGTGGAAACCAGCTAGAACCATCGGTCTAAAGGTGGAAGCCAGCTCAGGCTAATTCAGGTATCCCTCAATGTTTGTCAAAGTCTTGGGTATCCTCTTTGGTTTCATTTCAGCGCTGATGAGAGAGCTGATGAGCCACTTTGAAAGCCCCCTTTTCTTTTCTTTTCGATGGACATGCCCTTAAGTTGCGGATTACTGGTGCGTTCCAACACAATTGCAACGCTTTGGGGAGGTCTTTGAAAAGAACAAAAGGCCGAGTTGTTCGTGGTTTCCCTAGGGATTAGGATTAGGGATTCCCTCGTGTCATTTTGAGCAACTAATCCACTGCAATGGACTTCAGAGGGGCGTGGACCGCCTAAGCCAAGAAGATACAGAAGCGTTTCATACTGTGGATGGACGAAATCCTGCGCCCTGGTTTCTGATGGTTCCCAAGTAAATACTAAGCAAACCATGGTTTCTCATGGTTTCTTTGCGGTGCGCACGGATTTCGTCCATCCACAGCCGGCGATGGCCCCTCTCCACTCGCCGTTAAGCTGCCCCTCCGAGGAAGCAGAGCGGCAGCTTCGTCTTCACCAAAGACAGCTTGATGCAGCTTCAGCAGCTACTGGAGGCCGGGTGGGCGGTGACAACTTGACCTGCTTCCATTTGCTTAAGATAATATTTTGTTATTTTCCCCTGTTGGTTTTAACGGGAACCTAGCACTATACTGGCAATATTTGAATTTTTCCAGGGGTCTTAACCAAATGGAATCTTGCTGGTGCGAGAGATGCCACGGGAATGAGAAATGGAATGACCCCAAGAAGAACATCCAACCCCCGGTGGTTTCCTAGGGAATCCCCAGGTTCATTGTCACATTCTCTGAGCACCAGCAAGCTAAGTTTCTCTGCGCGGCTTCGGAAGCGCCGAAAGGAAGGCGGACTTGAAGGCGAACGATCCTGCAACTTGAGAAACAACCACGTGACTGTTCTTGAGTACATTCTGAATAATATTCATGTAGTTTGTCCCTTTGGTTGGATGGCTTTCAGGGAAAACCCACAGAGCATGCCTCTTGGGAAGCACGATTCATGCCAAGAGGCTGCAAACAAACCATAGCCATAAAAGGGCCTAGCTGTTGGCGTCCCCAGTGGTGGTGTAAGAGGTTACTTCCACTGTTGGAGAATCACTGGATAATATGTTTCATTTTTCCCTGTTGGTTTTAAAAAGAATCTATTCTATCACAACTCGATGTTTTTGTTCTTCAGAGGACTTGAGCAAATGGAGGACTGGGGAGATGTGCTCCGTTTAGCAAACAAAAAACAATCATGCATGGAGGTGGGGATGCATTCGCTTTTCTCGGGGTTTGGATGGGAAGCCGACTGGAAACAATCATTGGAATGCGTTTCCAACTTAAGTTGAGAATACCCTCCCACCAAGAAATGTGGAACCTGACGTTCGGGGGGTCCTGGAAGACGATTTTGCTTTTTAAAAGGGGACCGGGTGCAGGGCAGGTTCCATGCTAATTGGTTGGAAGGTATCTTTTCGTCTAGGGCCGGGGTCGTGGGAACCAGACATTGAGCACAAAAAGTGGGACTGACCGAGGTACAGCTGAAGCGCTGCACGGAGCTGCAGGACTTTGGGCCTTTCTACACGTTTTGCTTGAGAACATGTGTTTTTGTTTAATGGGGGAAATGCCCTCCCAAGTCGGTGGATGCTTGAGAGCATGGTAAAGCAAACGCAAACAATGGGGAATGCCCTCTTTAACGCAGGGGCTGATTTCAGTAAAGGGGACACTTCTGGGTTTACCCTCTCACGAATTAACCTGGAACCTGACGTTTGGGGGGTCCTGGAACGGCATTTTCTTTTAAAGAAACCGGGCCCCCGTCAGGTTCCATGTTACTTGGTGGGTAAGTCTAGTCACAAAGTAACATCTACAAGCCATCCCCTAAGGGGATCTCCATGGCGCTTCACTCCCCAAACCCGGACTCGGTCCTTCCCTATCGCACCGGTCCTTCAAGAAAATGGAACCCATGGGTGGCTTCGCGCAGGACTATGAGCACTTGGAGCCTTGGAAGGAGCGCCTGGACCGGTGGCAGCACTGGCTCCAGGCCGACGAATCGGTTGCTTCTCTTGGGCTGAAAGGCGTGCGAAATTGACCATACAGGGACGAAATCCTGCACCACTTTGAAACGTTGATATTTACAGGAGAATGAAGAGTTTCTTAGGTGGTGCAGGATTTTGTCCATCCACAGTACCGTTGTGAGTTTTGCCTAAATGGGAACCAACGGGGGGGTCTGTGTTTGTTTAGAATGCTTGCCCGACCTGCAATTGCCGGTGGGTAACGAATCTTTAGACTTTAACGGTTTGGGAAATCAACATTTTGTATTGAGCCCACAAACAGTTGTTCATTATGTCATTTCCCTGAATGGAAACCAATATGTTCGTGTCTTTTGTTTTAGTAATGCTTTCCAGACCTCCGATTGCTATTGGGTGGCGGATCTTTGGAGTTTAGCTTATTTGTTGACGGTTTGGGTTGGCCGTTTTGAGCACACAACAAGTTAAAAGCTTTTTGCAGATGGGTCAACTGCAGCCAAGATACCTTGTTAATCTACCTAGGTTGTTTTGTTGTTCCTGTTTTCCATGACCCCATTTAGCAAGCAGCTCAGGAAGGTATGGGTGTTGGGTGGGCCAATGCCCATTGGTTCTGCAAGTTTGGCGTTGGCTTTTGGATACCGCTATCGCTTTCGGTTGTTTGAAGCACAAGCTCACACAGACGTGTACTGAATGGGAACCAGCTTACACATGGGCATAGTCTTAAGTTTTGAGTTTATGCACTGTGACGGTGCCATATGTTCCCATATGCAGACTCGGAGCGGCAGTTCCACGCACGATGCAGCAAGGACTTTAACAGCAGTCCGGTTCCCTGTATTTTCCGGCTGCGCGAATTGAGGTCTGTGTCAACCGCAGTCTTACCATAGAGCATGCCCCCAACGGGTCGGGCTGTGACCATCAAAGCCGAGGGTGGATAGTCTACCAGGCGTCACTTGCTTGACGTATGTTTGGCTTTTGGAATCCGATTTTTGCTGGTGCTCGTTGGTTTCTCAGTGTCTCCAGGTCAAAGTTAGAATCTGGAGTTGTTTCCCCTTGACCACGGGGGCAGTGAGGGTCAAACTGTGGATGGGCGAAATCCATTTCACCCAAGAAACCTTGGAATGAGTCGATTTCCCGTAAATACTAACAAACGTTCTGGTTTCAACGTTAACCATGGTAACTAATTTCGTGTGTTTTTGTTTCAGTCTCGGTGTTCGCAACCACCCAATGATGGCGGTGACGGCGGCCAAGCCTAGCCGCGAAGTCTCGGCCAGGGCTTCGCCGAGACTTTGCAGTCCTTGTCCCAGCTGCAGGACTTGTGGGCGCCTGTCGCGGCATTTTAAGTTCGCGCGCGCTGTATGTAGACCGATGCAGGGTAGGGCCCTTTCTTGCGAGCCGCGAGACCGACGCGGGGTATGTAGGTTTCAGGCTTCTTGGGGCTCGCCGATGTGTGAGGTTTCGGGCTTCTTGGGGATTCTCTTTGCAAAATGCCTTAAGTTGCTGGTGCTCAGAAAAGAGTGAGGGAATGAGCCTGGGGGTCCTTTCAAGGAAACCACCAGTTGGAGGGTTTATAGGGCTCATTCCATTTCTCATTCCCTGCATCTCTCGCACCAGCAAGTTGAAGTCTTACAGCCATAGGTGTCCTTTTTGGTTGGTTTGCTGAAACAATAAGGTCCTGGTTTGCCTTGTTTTTTACTCATCTACCAGGGACACCCACCTATTTTCCAAAAAGGACATGGCTTTGCTTACGGCTTTGCCGGCTTTGCTTCAGATTTTCTCCTCGATCCTGGCTCAGGTGCAGCTGGAGCCCATCTTCAGCGGCCGAGATCTCTACAAACAGCTGCCGGCGGAGATCCAAAGCTTCCGAAAGGCGGACAAGCGACTTGGCTCCATGCTACAAGCGGCATGTCGATCCGGATGAATCCCTTGGGAAACCATGTAGAACCCGTAGAACTTGGCATCTTGGCTTCCCAACCATGTAGAACCCGTCCTGTTCATAGAAAAACCTTCCTCTGTTTTACGAATCGCCGCTAAACCCACGGACACCCCCTCAATGAATAGGACGTTTTTTGTTTATCCGGGGTCGACATTAGCTGTGTCGATCCTTTTGGCCGGGTTGGGCTGCCTTCAGGTTCCTCTCCATTGTTCACTTTTTGGTTTTCTCCATGTTGCCTTTTCGCGGAAAAGGCTTCTTGCCTTTTGCCCTTTAAGGCTAAATAAAATCCACTTGCTTTACAACGGAATTCTCTGAATCTTCTGATCATCTTCCTTGTCAGACTTGGGAATGGAGCAAGGCAGTTGTCTTTTTTGTTAGTCGTTTTTTGGGGTTGTTCACCTGACCACATTGCCAGACTTATAGGTTTTGGTTGGTTGCCCTTTTGGGTCTCTCCATGTTTGCAGGGGACCTAAGTCTGGCCAAGTTCCTTCCTCGGAAACTTGTTTCACTTGTTTTTTTTCGGTGGGTTCCCATTTTCAGTGAGGGAAGCAAACCCCCAAGCGAGTAAACCACATGAGGGCGGTTCTGCTTTAGGGTACCCACCACAATTGTGCTCTTTCTGTTGCGCTGTATTCTTTTATCTTTGTGTTACAAGCTACCCTTGAAAAAAGACACAAGCATGTGGGTGAGACATGATTTGGCTTGAGGTAGTTTGCATTTGACCAAGTTACTCTGCCAAGGTCTTTGGAGCGGCCCTCTGAACATGTGCTTATAGTTATTTACTGTGTTGTTATGATTATGATTCAGTGTCCGTCTAATTATGTGTGTTTTCTTTTTCTTTTTTTAAATAGTATATATATATGTATATATTTATTCATTCATATATTTATAGATTGACTTGTTTATGCTTCGATTATAGGTGTGTTTATGTGTTTATGTTGTTTTTTGTTTGTGATGTGTTTGTTAATATTTAGTTACGTATGTTTTTTGTTAACATCATAACCAAACCATGTATTTGTTTATTCATGTATTTATGTATTATTGTTTGACATGTGTATGCTTAGTTGATGTTATTGTTTTATGTTTGTTGTATGTATTTATGTGCTTATTGACTCATGCTACTTATATGACTTCTGTTACTTATATGTACATTGCCGTTATGTATGTGATTGTTTGTTTGCTTGTTTGTGTATTTATTGTGTTGATATTGTTTTGTGCATGTACGTGATTCTACATGAATATATATTCATATGTATGTATATGTATACATGTACGTACATATACACATATTTCACTGTTTAAATCATGTAGTTCTTAACTTAGTTGGTCATTTCTTTATGTATTCCGTGTTTTACCTGCTTTAGTTGTTTTTTTATTCCTTTTTTTTCACATACATACATAGATATATAGATACCATATATGTTTGTATATATATATATATTCATATGTACACATTTGTTTCTACCGGACCCCCTGTTGATCATTCTCGCGCGGCACACACGCGCAGCTTTTCGAGCCGTCGGCCTCTCGCTCGCTGGCCTCGTTTCGAGGTTCTGGCGGCAGCTGCTGGGGGCGGTGCAGCAGCAGCCCTTGGCCAAAGAGTTGCCGATGCAGCTGGAGCAGCGGCTCGACGGACCCAGAAAACAGCTGGGCCCGTGGTTCGGTTTTGGGGGTGGGGAGGGGTTTTCTGTGTGTGTGTGTTTTGTTTCATTGCGAGGGTGTGTGTTTGTGTGTTTGTTGGTTTGATTGTTTGTTTGTTTTGTTTGTTTGTTTTGGTTGGTTGGTTGGTTTGTTTGTTGGTGGGTTGGTTGGTGGGTGGGTGGGTGGGTGGGTTGGATGGTTGGTTGGTTGGTTGGTTGGTTGGTTGGTTGGTTGGTTGGTTGGTTGGTTGTTTGTTTGTTTGTTTGTTTGTGTGTTTATTATTTCTTTCTTTCTTTCTTTCTTTCTTTCTTTCTTTATTTCTTTCTTTAACTTTTTTCTTTTTTTATTTCTTTCTGTCTTTCTTTCATAATTTATTTCTTTCGTTCTTTCTTTCTTTCTTTCTTTCTTTCTTTCTTTCTTTCTTTCTTTCTTTCCGTGTTTCTTTATTTCTTTATTGCTTTCTTTTTCTTTGTTTGTTTGTTTTGTTGTTGCTAGTTGTTTGTGGGGGGGCTGTTGTGCGTTGTTGTGTTGAGTTGTCTTCCGTGTTGTGTTGCTTTATTTTTCTGGGGGGTCGGGGTGGGGGTAAGCGGGAATATCTTGTACTAGCTTGGAGCGCTGGGAGCTGTTCATTTGAGTTGCAGGCTCACTTTGCCGATTTGGAATGCTACGAGTTTAGGTAGCATGCACATCGTGCCAATGCAAATTGTAGGTAAATAGGCTAGCAACCGCAGTTTGCAGACTCAAATCGATGTTTAAAGTTGCCAACATATTTCGCCAACTTGAATGCTCGTGATTTGAATTAGCAAGCCGCGTCTGCCTATCTAAATCAGACGAGTAAGAACATGTCAGTCACTTAAATTGGCAGAATCTCCCCATCGCTAATTTTGAGTAGTTCAATAGATGAAAACCATGTGAACCCCCCTGTTGGGAATTTTCAGAATTTCACGAATCTAAGCTACTTCAATCATCATGAAGGCCACGGCTGAACCTTTAAATGCACGCTGCGCCCTTGTCCAAGTTAAATGATTTAGATCATTTTTGAAAGCAACTTAGAAGGCATTAATCAGTCACTAGCTTGGCTATGCAGCCACTAGCTTGGCTGAACATAGCTATTCAGTGGCCCCCTTGCCCCCGCCTTTCGCCAAAGCAACGGGCTCCGATTTCCATACAACGCGCCGCGAACTCCACTAACGGCGTAACAGGTTTTGTCACAACGAAGACACGCGAGCGGCGAGGCTGAACGAGAGCCGGGCCAAGTTGCAGCAGATCACCCAGAGCTTGGAGCAAGACGAGAAGAATTGATGCCACGGCGACCCACCAAACTTGGCGGTTCCCAGCCGTTCGGTGAACTAAAAGCTTTTAGGGGATCTGAGGACAGCACAGCAAAGGAGGAGTTTGCAACATCCCAAATCGCATGAAGTTCTTGCTTTGTTTTTGTTGGTGCAAAGAGCTGCACATGTTTATGCGTAAACCGCCCTCTCGGTGTGTTTAAACACTGAACGCCAGCGTGGGACCACTTCAAGCTAGTTTCCGTTTGGCAGGATTAAGTGGGTTCAGGTAAATACTGTGGATGGACGAAAGCCCGCACCGCCTAAGAAACCCTGGTTTCTGATTCCCCGGAAAATTGCACCGAATGGATTTCGTCCATCCACAGTAGGGAAACTCATAGGGGTTCTCAAAGGGGACCAGAAACACCACCTTTAGAAGCCACATAGTCAAATGAAAACATGAAGGTCAGATATGACACAAGTTGTCCAAACCACGACCCCCCGAATGTCAGGTTCCATGTCAATAGGTGGGAGGGTATCTTAACTAGGTCCCCCAGTAGTGCCCTTTATCCTTTTTTGGGGGAGGGTTCCCCTACTAAAATAGACTACAGAGAAAAGTTGGTACCCTTATTCTAACCTCTCGACTGCAGGACCCAGTCCCCCTGTCAGGTTCCATGTTACTTGCTGGCAGGGTCATGGCCTGCCACTAGTTCAACCCAGGCGGTTCCCGGATTGCCGCGCAGAGCTTCCCCCGGTTAGTCTGGGGTTCAACTCAACCCCCATTAAAACAAAGGTTGACCCAATTTTGACGATGACACAGGGCTCCTTAATTGACACATTTCGCCCATTTGAAACATGGCTTGTTCCACCAAAATAAAGAGACACCACCAATTACAAGGCAACGCTCAGGTGTATTTTGTTTGGATCCCTGGACAATCCTTAGGTTTTTTATGGTTATATGAACCCCCATTGTTTTCATGGTTTGAACCCCACAGGTTCATCTGAAGGGGTCCCCCAATTTGCATTGGCAGACTTAGCGGGTGAAGCTAGACGTTGGAGGCGTCCGCTTTGCCACGAAAGACGACATGTGCCCTGGTGCAACTTGCCCCCTTTTGGGTCTCTTCCCCTTTTCCTTTCAACCAGCAAGGTGTAGTGAGATACAACTATAGACATACCTGCCTACCTACCCACCCACCTACCCATGTACGCGCGTGCGTAGTAGACGCACAAGGCACAGAAACACATATGCACACGCATGTAGATGAAGATGTCCTGGCACATCTCCTTCTTTTGGAGCGCCGCAATTTTCAGATAGCGCCCATTTGGTGTGTCGCCAGCGCGATGTTTAGCCGGGCGGCGTTCGGCTCTTGCAACTGCGGCCTCCTTGAAGGAGCCAAAGCGGAACCGGTCTCACCGCGGCGAGCCAGACGAAAAGAGGCGTGTCTCAAGATGGTCTCATAAAATGGTTGGCTTCCATTGGTTTCCCTTGCAATACCAACCAACAGGGGTTCGCCATGTTGAAAGGCTGCGATTTACCAGTGGCACATTGCCATAGGGAAGCCATTGAGGAGCCATTGCCGTGGCAACCTGTTGACAACTAGTGACTAGCGACCATGCAGGATGGTCATCCTCTGGCTCTTACGGATCTAAATCATTGAAGAAATGGCCGGGCCCCTATCCTGAGTTCCTGGTCTTTCTTCACTTTCCGGGAAGACCGGTTTGGTGGTAAATATGAAAGTTTTGACTTGTTGCCAATCAATCCACTCGGGAAGTGAGAGTTGCAGTTTGCGGGGTCTTTTCAAGCGTCGCTAGGGGGCGATTTCCCTTTCAACCCCATCTCGCAGATGATCTGCATGATCTTATGGCAGAATGGGCTGACGGGCGAAGACGAGCTCAATGCTTATTTTCGAATTCTCATGAGTTGTATCATGCCTTGGATAAGGAGAGACGTTAGAAACCCCCTACCAACGCAAACTATGCTCCTCATTGAGCTTTTGGCAGAAAAGGGTATCGGTATGGCTGCTTGCCAAATAGCGAATCTTCGCTTTATATTCCAGAGTGAAGACAAGAGGGGATATGCATCATCCATTTTCCGAACCCATTTAGCAAAATGATGCCCCAGGCATAGATATCATCCGGCAACGGCGGGAGCAAGGAGATCCTGGAGATGATCACAGCAGATTGGGTTGCACTGATTGAAGCTGAGCCCTTGGGAACCATTTGGTCACAGGGAAAGTTTTATCCTTCGGAAGCCACAGGTTGAGAATATGTGGTGGAATCTCGTAATTCCGCACGTGCATTCATACATTTCCCTCTTATTTGTGGTAGCTGGGTAGCCCAGAGATTTCTGCACGTGCGCGTTTGTTTGGAGATCCACGCCTCAATGCGCGCCAGCTCGAAAGTTCTTGGATCTTAGTGCCACTCGCTGAAAGTCATTCCGCTGACGTCACTTCCCTTGCTATGGTTTTCAAGTAGTGAGAACCCAACTTCTTGCCACAATCCCAGTGCTAAATTCCGCAGAAGAACGCTGTTCGCGTTTCTGTTATGTTCTTCTCTGTGTGGCATGTGGAGGCTTGACAAACACGCGCCACACGACTGGCCGAAACGCAACCGATTCAATCATGTTTACCCAGGCCTGTTCATTTGCGTGGGCTGACAAGAAGCCGATCTTTGTTGGCAAACCCGGACCCTGCAAGTCGTTGCCAATTTGAACACACCTACCAGCAAGTTGGGAGTTCCCTTGTAACACATGAATAGTTTGAACATTGGACGAGCCCTGATGCCCTTTAGGATGAGCCGGCTTTACAGATCCAAGAAGTTTTGCGAGAAGCATGCACGAGGCTGCTCAGGGATGCTAGCATCCACTGTGGATGCCCATGGTGCAAGTAGCTTCAAACTGTAAGTTGCAGGGTGTCCCCTTGTTCCCTACCAATATTTGGGGCTATGGGGTAATAACACTTTTTAAGACACCTCCAGTTGTTCAGTCTTCCCGCCAAAGATGGTCAGTCTATTAAAGGGTTCCCTTTTGCTTACCAGAATCTTCATGTTTTGTCATCGGCTTTGACTTGGCACCTGGCTCGGATGAGGGCGCGACCTTTTGGACATGATGCTCTATGACAAGGACACAGCCCTCAGCGAGAGCAACGTTAGATTAGGCAATAAACTGTGTCGCCCATTTTTCAGCAAGGCATCCTCAAAATGACTGTCCAAGTTTTGGCTAAACGGAAACCACCACCAAAACGTAATTCGGAGAATCCCTGAAATTGTTTAGGAGCCGGACAGCTTCAGACCAGCGCGAAGTTTTGGAATGCGCGGTCGATCCCGAAATTGAGCCCCCCCTATGCCGTGCGGCTGGGTTGAGCAGCTTGTGTTTCCGAAAGCCCTCCACGACTCAGGCGGCATGCAGCTGCAAGTTGTATCAACACGTTTTGTAGGACCCTTCTTCCGGATGGACTACATGGAGGGGTGAATTTTGTGTTTGTTTTTCCAACGTTCCACTTGTTCATTGCGTGTGGGGTGGTAGACTTCAGGTGCGCAGGATCAGGTGTATATGTTTTTGGGCATGGAAGCGTGTATGCCACCACTAGCGACAGTACGCGCTTGTTTTTTTGTGTGTGTGTGGCATATCACCTCAGTCCCCCAAAAGCATGCAAGAACGCCATGTTGATTATGAGATTTGCACCAGCTGCCTTTGCTATTTCGCTGCGTGTTTGCTCACTTGCATTCAAGCAACCATAGTAACCCTTCATGTGTTCGTGAATCCGCGCATCATGTCATTTCCCAATGGAAACTAGTTTGGATTTGTGATTGGGGGATTTGAACCTCCGGCAATCTGAGGAAGCCAAGCTCCAGCCTGCAAACCACGAATTGTAGCTGAGTTTTCCCCTCAACCGGGCACTTCAGTGCAAAATACCGTTCACCTCGCCTCGCGCGAGAGGACAAGAAGACAGGGCTAGGCATGACGGAAGCAACTTGGCGGCGTGCTCATGTGAGCCCCAGTGCACACGAAATAAGCTTGCTCGTACACCTTGGTAGAAACTCTCGAGCCGTCTTGAGGTCTTGCGGGGTCCATTCTGGGTCCTTGGGAGATTCCGCCCTTGGAGACCCAAGATTTCTCATCCGGTTGGCGGCCAAAAGTTGTTTAAGCAAACCAACCAGGAAAATACATACAGATCTCCCCCTGGCGTCTTGCCATAGTTGACGCACAGGTCTTGCGCTGATATCCGCAAGGCTTCACTATCCCCACCAGGTCCCTCAACAATTAATTGGATACGGGGGAGGTGACCCCCTTGAATTCTGTTTTTAGGCTCGATTCTCCCTCCCCCTCCCCTCAATGCTTCATCCGCGGTTGAGAGTCAGGTGCAGGTGGGGAAGACCCTGGCCCTTTGCAGCTGAATATTTTGTAGCTCGCGCTTTTTGTCGCAGCAGAAGGTCCAGTAACTGGTCTCATTTACAGAGATTTCTCATCGCTCCAAAGGCAATAAGTCGATACCTGCTCGCAACTAGCCAAAAGCCGCCAGTGCCGCAACTCAGAGCACAAACTCCAAGCCGCCTGCTTGGATCCCTTTGAATTTCCATGCACGCTAGATTTGAAGAGAAGTAAATAGCCCCTTCAGGTTAGCGGGTTGGCTTCATTCCGGTCTCCCCTTCAAATAAATAATGCGGCCGGAGCGAAGCCGCCCATGGCCACTGTTTGAGCTCGCAGCCTTCTTCGATATTTGATATTGTTCCGGATTGCTGTTTGATGTGGCCTATATTTAAAGGCCACTTGGGTTGACACTTCATGAACTGAACAGTGAAAGTTTTCTTGAGATGGACATCTACTTTGTCATACCAGATTGCTTGTGGGAGAAGATGACAGTTTGTCGACTGACTATCAGACAGTGCCGCGTGTTGCAGGGCGTCAAAGACCAAGAGCGCGTTGTTTTATCCCTTCCAGTGCCAGCGTGGTTGGCTGGGGGCAAGAAGATGGGTCGGCAATAGTTGCACGTGACTTGTCCCAGTCAGAGTTGAGAGATCGCAAACGCAGCGGCAATAAGGATATGATCGTGGACAATGCAACTCGGCGATGCGAATCAGTGGCCAAACTACGTTGGTGTTGGTTTGCTCCGTTTTACAGTTGCGTGTTTTTGCTTGTTGCTCAAAATCAAGCTTTCAAGCCAACCGGTCTGAGCCCCTATGGCCTACCAGGGCAGTCAGGACAGTAAGAGCGCGTGTGTTACTGTTGCCGCGAAAGTCTGGGTCTGGCACTAAAGATGCAGAGGGGCAGTTCAAAGGGGAAAAGTAGCAACATGGTACTCACCCAAAACCATGTTAACTATGTTTATTGTTTCCGTGTGCAAAATAGCACGTGACTGTCGAATTTTGCTAGCGCAAGCCAGATGTTTCGTTGTTCCAGCCTCTTACGCCCAAGTGGATGATCTTGTTGCCCCGGACATGTGAAACGGCACGCGTCATGTTTTCCCCAAAACCTGCCCTGCTTCACACTTGAGGTGCTGACCTTTCTCTTTGCGGGCCAGGATTCCACTGCCGCGGCCATGGCCTCCTGCCTTTGCTTCCGGGCAAGACACGCGACTGGATGCTTCTGGATGCTTGTGCGTTGGTTGGCTGGCTGGTCGGTTGGTTGGATGACTGTTGGATGGCTGGTCGCTTGCGTGGCTGGCTGGTTGGTTTGTTGGGTGGCTGGCTGGCTGGTTGGTTGGTCGGGGCCTTTTTGTGATTCCCCTTCGGTCCCTTTGGGCACTGCTTGTTTGCCAGTAGATTTGGTAGGCCTCATGTTGAAACACAACGATTTTAGGGATGGGTGACCAACAAAAGTAAGAACCATTTCACCACACACCAACGAGTAAATGAACAAGTTTGCAGTTTGCAATCTGCAGTTGTTATTTTCTGTTGCTTTGTGCATTCTGTTGTTTGTTCTGTTGTTGGCTGTTTTGTGGAATCGCTTCCGTATCAAACTCAATCCCTCACGAATCTTTTGGGCTGTATGCCCCACCCATCAGCGACCGCTTTTTACAAAACCATTCTAGCGGGGTATCCCTGACTCTGAATTGGGCAACACTGGTGGCCGTCCTTTACGTGGTAATATGTACCGACACCAGACGTGCTTGATTGTATTAAATACATCCTACACCAACCCCAAATCAATTAATCCCACCCACCACGGCCCTAAACCAACTCTACACCACCTCTAAGCCAACTCTAAACCAACCCTAACCTAACTCTAAGCCCTAAGCCAACTCTAAACCAACCCTGACCTCTCTTTGAGCCCTAGGCCAACTCTAAACCAACCCTTACCTAACTCTAAGCTTTAAGCCGACTCTAAACCAACCCTAACGTAACTCTAAGCCCCCGGCTAACTCTAAACCAACCCTCACCTAACTTTGAGCCCTAGGCCAACTCTAAACCAACCCTAACCTAACTTTGAGCCCTAAGCCGACTCTAAACCAATCCTCACCTAACTTTGAGCCCTAAGCCAACTCTAAACCAACCCTAGCCTAATCTAAGCCCCAAGCCAACTCTAAACCAACCCTGGCCTCTCTTTGAGCCCTAGGCCAACTCTAAACCAACCCTTGCCTAACTCTAAGCTTTAAGCCGACTCTAAACCAACCCTAACGTAACTCTAAGCCCCCGGCTAACTCTAAACCAACCCTCACCCAACTTTGAGCCCTAAGCCGACTCTAAAGACTCTAAACCAACCCTAACCTCATCTAAGCCCCAAGCCAACTCTAAACAACCCTGACCTCTCTTTGAGCCCAACTCTAACCAACCCTTGCCTAACTCTAAGCTTTAAGCCGACTCTAAACCAACCCTAACGTAACTCTAAGCCCCCGGCTAACTCTAAATAAGCCCCAAGCCAACTCTAAACCAACCCTGACCTCTCTCTGAGCCCTAAGCCAACTCTAAACCAACCCTTACCTAACTCTAAGCTTTAAGCCAACTCTAAACCAACCCTAACGTAACTCCAAGCCCCAAGCTAAAACTAAACCAACCCTCACCTAACTTTGAGCCCTAAGCCAACTCTAAACCAACCCTAGCCTAACTCTAAGCCCCAGCCAACTCTGAACCAACCCTAACTTAACTCTAAGCCGTAAGCCAACTCTAAACCAACCCTAACCTAACCCTAAGCCCTAAGCTAACTCTGAACCAACCCTAACCTAACTTTGACCCCCAAGCCGACTCTAAACCAACCCTTACCTAGTCTAAGCCCCAAGCCAACTCTAAATCAACCTTTGAATCCTAGGCCAACTCTAAACCAACCCTAACCTAACTTGGAGCCCTAAGCTGACTCTAAACCAACCCTGAATACATCATGGCCCATATCCACTCTGTTACTTCCACATCCCTGGGCTATGCTTCGATTCTTCGAGCCAGTTCTCGCGAGGCTTTCTGTGCGCTTACCCGGAGAAAAAGGCCAAGCTCTTGAAGGCAGATGGGTTTCATCTAGGGACCCAGGGACACAATAGTGGGGAATCGGACCCCTTTTCGGATGGTTTTAAAGGAGACCACATGAAGCCACTTAGCTTAAGAAGTCCAACTAATTTTGAGAAACGCTATGAAGCAGAGCTAGAACACTTGTTTGGAGTACTTATGTGGGCCAAGACAATCCTTGTTTCTCTTTGAAACCCACCGAAAGGTCCATGATCTTTGGGCGTGCCAACAAAAAATTGGGGACCCCACAAATGAATCGGTGCATGATTGTGCTCTTTTTCCATGGAAATCCACGGAGTTTATCGGTCACCGCGGTTTGGCTTAGGCAATGTTGATGGTAGCTTTCTTAGCGTTGCTCATCCACCGGTATGTCTACGATCTTTTTGAACTCGGCATTTTGGCCAGTTGAGTCACCTTTACCCACTGATTTGCGAGGATCTCCTTGTGGCCCATGATGGCTTTGGGAGAAGGATCCTGGTGACTGGCAGCCAGTTGCACGGCAGGAGATCGATGAGGTTGTGGGTGACGGCCAGCCGTTCGACAGCAGCCCTCCCCGCCCAGTTGTTTCCAGTGCCCTGAAAGAGGGCTGAAGGGTCTCAGTTCGGGCAAACTGCGCGCTGCCCCAGTTTTTGGACTTTCACCTTTTTGGAAAGATTCGTTTAGTGCTATGGAACAAGTCTTGAATGTGTCTGATGCCACTCAAGTGAAACAAGCAGAAGGAGGAATTTGCTGCGTTTGGGAACTGCGGGCTTTGGGGAGCATCAGGTTTCCAGCGTAGAGATTGGTTTTTAGCCTGCAGCCTTGGCTCTCAAGCGTGGGACCCCTCCCCTTTGCATCAAACTGACGGTTTTACTGCCTTAGAACTGGCTTTCTGAGGGGTATGGGATTGGAAGGTATGCCAAACTGGTCAAGTGGGAGCCGCACTGGGGCCCCCGCAAGCCAGACCTCCAGGCCAGCTGCCCCTTGGCCCGGCCTCTTCCGGAAATCCACGGTGCACTTTTCAAGTCCCATGGCCACTTCGATCGCTTCGCTTTAAACGACCGGGCTGCGTGAACCAGGCCTCGACCGGTGCCTTTCTGTCTGGAGAGGTTCTCCGCTTTAAGCGATGGAGCCGTCATAGCCCACCTTTGTTGCAGCTCCCTGCTCAAAATTTGAGCCTTGAGATGGAGCGCTGAGCCTGGCTTGGGAGACTCGGATGTTCCAGCCACTTCGCAAGCTTGAACACCTCGCGTGCAAAGACGACAGGAGCTTGTTCACATTTGAACACGGTTATTGCCTGGGTCCACAGTCTGAATTGGTCATGTGTTTAGACCGCCTTGCTGATGCCCGCCAACCTACTTACTATGAGGGTTGAACATCCAGGCTTTCCAACTTCACCTAGGTTTGAGTGGGAGCACCTGAGCAAGATGCACTACCTGGATTGGTGCATCAAGGACATGCGAACCTTTCCAAAAAGGCACTCGAGCGCAGCTGGCATGCGTGTTACTAGCTGGTCAGATGTAGTGGTGGGTTCCGTTCATTGTGCTGCCCGAAGTCAATTTCGCTTAAGATTGAGCTGGTGGAACTGACTGATTCGTCGCGAGATCTCATAGCTGGCTTTCTCCCATTCATTTGGTGAGGAGACTATGCGACTTGTGCCTCCTGCCGTGGGCTTTATGCGCCAGGCTCCTTCATGCGACAAAGACACACCCATGTTTCCTTGTAGTTAAAGCTGCAGCGGTTGCGCATCAAAAGTGAAAGCCCCTGAAAGTCCCTCTACCTTCCCACGTTGCCACGACACCTAAATGGAGGGACCTGGAAGACCATTCCTGAGATGGGAACCCCGAGGTAGGCTTCCATGTTGGGGGGTTCTTTGGCATCAGCGCTGAATGAGACTTGCAGCGTCTGCGAAGTAAAGATCGCACATGTCAAAGGCTGAGTGTATAGGCCCACATATGGACCCATGGCAAGTTTGGACCCTTTGGACCCTTTGGGCTGATGTTCCACAATTAGGCTGTAGCTAACGGTCAATGCACAAACTGGGGGTTCATTTCCAGGAATCGCTCCATTGGTCCGTAGTGGAGGTTTGTTGGGGAAAGAGAGGCCCATATTGTGCCCTTGTTTGGTTTTAACATCACCTTTGGGATCAATTTCATTTGCACTCGTGATGTACGGCACTTAGAAGGAACCCTGCGAAATGATCGTGTTCTCACCGGTTTGATACCGGTTTCCAAGCAGTCATTCTCGCGCACCTTTGGCTCCTGCAGGGTTGCAAACACCAGCCACCAACGCAGGTGTCGCTTTGTTTGTGTTGGTATCTTCTTTTGCGAGGAGTTGCCTTTCAATCTGAGCTAACTGAAAAGGTTGCTCAAACTCAGCAGCAAGCACGGCCTGAGTTCTACTTTGCTCACAAAAAAAGCCTTTGCAAAGTTAGCCCCCAAAAACGGCAAGTCATGGCCCGGAAAGAAACAACTTGCGGAAGGTGAAGGGGTCAACAGCAACCAAGTGATGGTGTTCATGTTTTTTGCATGCGCTTCATGGGCCACGCAGCTTCATCTTTGACTCTTTGATTGCCGACTTCCTTTGTCGGCGGACATTTCTGCGGCATGCCTTTGCGGCTTCAACGCAACGGCCATGCCCTGTCCTCCGTGTGGGTGCCGTCCCGTCGCGCCAGCTCAGCAAGCCTCAGGCGTGTGGAAAGCGTCTTAAGCGTGCGAGCGGATGGGCGGGAACGCGGGTCAACCAAAAAATGGGGGGGGACCGCCCAAAAAGAGCCGAGTTGGCCAGGCAGGCTGCGTTTGCGGATTGGCGAACGATTTTCATTTGGGGATGGGGCTGTGCCGAACAAATGGTCAACGTGGTGCACGGGAAACCACCCAATTTGGAGCTTGCAACTGAGTCTTCCATTTGCTTCAGCCTGGAAAGAATAGACAGATGTTCAGTAGTGAAATCGATCCCCTTTTACACTAAACGGAAGGAGTGGTGCTCCCCAACAACATATCCATGGGTCGAAAGCCCGTACCCCCAGTGAACATCACAATCCCCACTAAAGCAGATTAAGACGGTGGTGCACCTACCCCAACATGGTACCATTGGTTTACATCCCAGCCACGTCTTCCTCTGGTGGTTCCAGGTTTGCAACACACCTTTGGCAACGCTTTTTTTGGCAAGTCAACCTCCCCACCCCACCCCCGGGCGAGTGCAACACCTTTGTTTGTCTCAGTGGAGTCACTGGCACGCGTGCGCCTTCTATGTAGCTTGCCTGCAACTGAACTTTTGACCTTTTGGTGGCGGAAGTGGACAAGAGTTCTTGTCAAGATGGCGTCTTTCAAACCGTCCTCCGCTTGCATGATCGAACAATGACAATCTGTTTAGCTTACCTTTCCACAACAAGTGAGCCAGTAGCCCCTGCACAGCTTATACATGCTACATAACCCTTGGTTTCCTCCAAAAGGAGTTTGAAAGGGGGTGGCTATGTCTTTCATGTTTTCCTCACTTCCTGAGTTCATGTTTTCCTCCTTTCGTCACTTTTCCGGGTTTGGTTGCCATTCTGGTACGGCATGCCCAACAAAAAGTGTGTATGTTTTTGTTTTGGCCGTCCTAGACCGGCACAACGGAAGCCCGGCCTTCCACCCAGCCTTCCGTTGAGAACATTCGGCTCAACTCACTGGCCAGGCAGCACCTGCTGGCGCCAGAGGCCACGCCTGAGGCACGGTCTCGGTCCCGCTTTGGTCCCTCCAAATGGACTCCCGCCTGGCTTGAGATAACTTGAGCCACAATCAATACTTGGCTAAGTGAAGGTTCGTAAGGGAACATCCCAGCCAGAAATAGTTGCGGCCGCCTTTGCAACATTGGTTTGGGTGCGCCATTTTAATATCAGGTCTTGATTGTGACTCACTGATATTCACCAGGCCAGCGCCATTCTGTAAGTGGATGCGCGTCGAACGGTTTTGTTGCGTCTCCGCACCCCTTTTGCCCAGTTGAGACCTTTCAAGCTTTCGGTTTCCCCGTTTGCGTCCGCAAGTAAGGGCCCCAAACGGTGATTGCCTTTTATTTCCAGCTTGTCCGGGCCTCTGACAGCGTCTCGGGCGTCTCGTCCGTGTTTTTTTGTTGGTATTTCTGTGGATATCAAGTTTTGACCTGCCCAAAAAACAACATGTCCTTTAGTTCCAGCAAGAAGCCAATAGGGGAGTTGCGTGTTGGTTTCCAGATGTCTCCTTTTCAGCACCCGGTTTGCAGTTTACATGGAATGCGCGTGGCCCGCCTCATGATACAGAATGCTTTTTGGGAAGATAAACACAAATTTATTAAATATGGACTTACTCTCACAAACCGACTCGGGAAGTGAGTGTCAGCATGATCAAACATTCGGCAGACACCTTTATGTGTCTCTCTACCGGGAAATAGCCGCCTCACATTCGAAGAATGACACGGCTGAAAAACATCTTGCGAACTGCAGTTGCCGTGGGTGCAGGTGACGGCCCAGTGACGGCACGGCTGAAAACTGTCTCGCGAACTGGGCCTGTCAAAGGCCTTTAAAAGCAATTGCAGTTGCAGGAGTGCAAGGCTTCCACGGCAGATTAGTCAGAATTCAGCCTGGTTCAGACTTTGAGCATTGCTTTGGGCTCAGATGTGATGCGCGGCATGAGATGTTGCGTTGGTTGCATAGTTTCAGATAAGGCAAAAGGCGCAAAAGGCTTCTTTCAGGGTGAGTGCCGTTGAGTCCATAGATGGCCCTGGCCCGTCATTTTGCTTCCAGTCATTTAGCCCCACTGTCAATGCGGCCCCCTGTGGGAGAACTCCTCCTGCCATTCATTGCTCGTGGAAGAAAGGAGTTCCCTGAAAAGGGAGCCCCTCAATAAAAAGCGGGGTTGTGTTCATCAGGGGTCCATTTGTAGAGAGGGAGAGAGAGATAGAGTCTAGAGAGAGCTTCCTCTAGAGATGATATTGAAACTCCTATCTGGTCAACCGCGGTCGAAAAAACAAGCCCAATCCGTGTGGCAGGCGTGGGACGGTCGTTTTGATCGTCACATCCTTTTTAATCAAAGATAAACAAAGTCTTCCCGGCGTCTAAATCGACAGCGTGGACCTGCGCAGGTCTGAAAGCAAGGGCAAAGTGGGTGTAGTATTTTTGAACTTCAAGCGTGCCTTTTTGTGTGGCCAGGTATGGCCAGCATCAGGGGTCAACGTCTAGAGGGAGTTTCCTTTAGGGGTGATACTGTGGATGGACGAAATCCATCTCGCACCACCGTTCAAAAGCCCTTGTTTCTGATGATTTCCCTGTAAAAACATGTAAAAACCAACAACCGTTTTGGTTTCAACCACGGTTTAAACATGGTGCGAACTGATTTTCCATGTGGGTGTGGGTGTGTGTGGCTTTTGTAAAGGGGACACCAATGGTGGTTGTCCCTTTGGTTGCCCGTTTGGTTTCATTTCGTCGTGCGGACGGAAAGCCGCAGTCCACGGTTTCCGCACTGTGCGAGGTGGGGCATCCCCATGAGAAAGAGCCGGAGGAAAAGGAGCGGGGCTTCCCGCTTTTAGGCGAAGGTTTGTGCGACGACTTTGGCGAACACGCCCCGAAAACGGTGAACCTTAAATTGATGCTGGACTGACCCTTGCAAGGCTGGAGAGAGCGCACGCAACAAAAAGGTGACTGTGAATTCACCAAGACCCAACGGCTCTCAATTGCTTTGTTTCATGGCCTTTGGGCTAGGTTGGGGCCATTTGACCGCCATTGGCGGGTGCTGGTCATCTGGGCATGTCCTTTTTTTGGGGTACTCTTTCTTTTTGGTTTGGTGGTTTCAAAAAGGAAACCAGCGGCACAAGCACCAGTGGCGGTAGAAAAAAAACATAACACAATGACACGTCTCTTTCCGCCAGGGCAGGGCCACGGAGGCACCCTTCGAGGCGAGCCAGCGCCGGGGTTTTCCTCCCCAACCCCCCCCAAAACAAAAACCAATCCGTGGGTGGACAAAATCCGTCACGAAATGAGACACTGCTTGAAACCAGAACGTTCGTTGGTATTTGCAGGGAGTCATCATTCCAGGGCCTCTTAGGCGTTTTCCTTGTTTGGCCAGTGTATGGTCAATGTTTAGACGGGGGTGATGCTGTGGATGGATGAAATCCATCTCGCACCCTGGTTTCTGATGATTCACCCCCGTACATGCCAACAAACGTTTTGGTTTCAACCATCGTTTAAACATGGTGCATGAGTTTTGTATGAACCCAATGGGTGTGGCTTGAGTAAAGGGAACCCCAATGGTGGTTGTCCCTTTGGTTCCCCTTTTGGTTTCATTTCGTCGTGCGAACGGACCTCGCGCGAGGTGGGGCATCCCCATGAGAATGAACCGTCGGAGGAAAAGGAGCGGGTCGTTCTTCGCGAATCGGCGAAGTTCTGCGGGACTTTTTAGACACACCCCTGAAAAGGTGAACCCTAAAAGATGCTGGACTGAGCCTTGGCTGAGGCTGGAGAGAGCGCAAGCAACAAAAAAGATACAACGAGATACTGATTTCACCGAGGCCCAACGGCTCTCAATTGCTTTGTTTCATGGCCTTTGGGCTAGGTTGGGACCATTTGACAGCCATTGGCGGGTGCTGGAATTTGGGCATGTCTCTTGTTAAGGGTACTTTTGGTTTGGTGGTTTCAAAAAGGAAACCAAAGGGCAAAACCACCAGTTGCGTGGGGACGCACAACTTGACCCACCCTAAGGTTTCTTTGCGCCAGGAGAGGTAGGGTTTGGGGCCCCGGGGCCCTTCCAGAGCCAGCCCTCCCCAAGGACCTTTTGAGCGGTCCCGGCACCTTGCAGGAGGTGAAGCTGCCCAGCTTGGGTGTGACAAGGTCCTATACTGTCCGAGCAACTCTCCGTTACTCCATACCATTGCCTCCAAGCCCCCCAAACAAAACCCAATCCGTGGGACGAAATCCGTCACACCGTGAGTGCCAGGAGAGGCCCCCAGCTGAGGAGCAGCCCTTCGAGGCCAACCGACATCACTTGGGCGAGGGGTTGAGTAGTTTGTCCTTTTTTTGTCAGGCCCCTTTTTCTTGATGGCTCAAGAAAAAAGCCCTCCGGTGCCTTGGCCTTTTGGACCTTTTAGTTGGTTTAGCTGTTGGTTTAGTCAACCCACTGAAAGTTGAAGTTTCAGCGGAGGGATCTGAGGGAGACGCCCTCCCACTCTGATTCTTACCCAATAGGACACATCAAAAGGGGATTGGCCAGTGGTCTTTTCCCCCCACGTGGGATTGCAATGCCCCGCGGATTTTTTGGGGGGACTTTAGATTCCCTCAGCGTTGCAGGGCGAGTCGTGGACCTAAAGCTGCTAGTACGTACCTTCGAGTTGGCCGCCGAGGTGTCTTTGAGGGTATCCTTTGTGGGCATTGAAAGGAAAACCACAGGGAAGGCACCAAGTTTGGGGTTGCCCTGTTTTGAGACAAGCCCACATGTTGGTTGATTTCCTGATGTCTCTGAAGGTTTAGAGTGGAGGTTTGTGGTGTGAACCGCTTGAGTAAAGCAAAGGTGAAAGACCCACCCCAAAACCACCAAAGCAAACCACGCTGCGCTGTGCTTTGCAGAATGAAACTGCCCAGGGTTCCCAAGAAATCCTCGCGGTTTGCCGCATTTTGGGGTCAAAACTTTACTGCGAGAATGCGATTCAAAGAATTCGCAGGAACCGAGAAACATGATTTCCTGGCTGCAGGCTTTACTCACCGTTTTGCCAATTTCTAAAGCCTGCTTTTTCTAGCTGGTGTGAGCTCGTGTTGCTCAAAGAATGGCGAGCTCGTGGGTAACGGTAAAACGAGCTCACAGTTGAAGGCCCTTTACTTGAGGATCGCTGAACTCAGGACGAGTCATAGTATCAGACCAGATATGCCACGAATGGCCAGGCCGAGCTGCTTGCTGAAACTCGTCAGGCGGTTCTGTGCTGAAATTCGTTCTTGCCAAACCTGTTGCTCACCAACCCCTAGGGGTCATACAGGCCCAATGAACCTTGACTTGAATCCGTTTTAACCTTTTTTTTGGCATGAAGGGTTCATGGCAGAACGGGCTTCCCCCAAACTTCATTGGGCTTCCCCCAAGCTTCATTGGGCTTCCCCCAAGCTTCATCGGTGTCCTTGTGATCGTTTAGCTTAGACATGGGGCGCTTCCAGTAGTTGAGTTTGTTTTTACAAGCCGTTTGCCAGCGGCTTATTTTCTTTTCCAACAAGTCACCCATGCCAAGCCTCCTTCGCGTCGAGGTGGTGTGCGCGGCAAGATCTGCATCTTCGTCCTCTTGGTCCATGGTGTCGGGGCCACAGGCTGAGGATGCCAATGTCCAGGCGCGGGCGCTACCACAATACTCCCGCACAGATTCCCGCCCAACTACCTGCACCCCACCTCTTCAACCCAACCACAATACGCCCTGGAGAATACGTAGAACCACAAGACCCATCAAGTGTGTTTACAGCCCATCATACACCTATAACAGCTGTCAATTCAATTTGATGTAAATACACCCCTTGTTCCCTTTGTGGTTTGGTGGGTGGAAGCCATCCTGATTGTTTTGCGGAAACTGGAAGCCATCCTGCGAGCGTTCCCTTATCAACCCCTCCCCCGTCCCCTTCAGAATGAGCTTCCTGGAATAG